AAGGCATGCATACGAAACTCGTGTCTGATGCCTGACCATGGCATGATCAGGCAGTGGAAGCTAATTATTACTACTACTTCGTGCGATGATGACTAGATTATCTCACTGAGTACGTCTCATTCTGCCTTAATATAATTGGAAAAGAACTGGACTTTGGTATTGTTGTCAATATATCAAGTCCTGATGGCTACTCTCTTCAATTTCTTGTCCAATTCGTTAATAGAGTGCATATTTAGGCTGTGTTCAACACAGGATGTTCCCAACTCCTCTCTCTTGTGTTCCACGTGCACGCTTTTTAAACTGTTAAACGGTACTTTTTTTGCAAAAAGTTTATATATGAAAGTTGTTTAAAAAAATCATATTGATCTATTTTTTAAAAAAATTAGCTAATACTTAATTAATCACGTGCTAATGGACTGCTTCGTTTTCCGCGTGAAAGATAGGTTCCCAGCCCATAGAATCGAACACAGCCTATTTTGTTAATTAAGAGAAGATTAGTTCTTGATTTTTTTTTGCATTTTCCAATATATATGTACAACGTACTGCAAATTGAAGTGAAGTGAATGCATATCGGTTGGTCCTCAATATAATATCCTCACTAATTTCTCTTCTGTTTATTTAACAGAAATAATACCAAAGAATTATCCATTCATTGTGACCTGTTGTTATTTAATTTTCTAATAGCTTACTTCGGTTTTAAGATTGGTAGCAACAAACTCCGCAGTTGGTCGTCAAATTGTAATCATTCAGTGGTAATAGCTGTGCAAGTAGCCTTTTCCACCTGTATCAAGGAAATTAACCACGGAACCCAGTAATAATGCATATCTGCCTTCTAGTAATCTCTAACCAAACGGGTTAGCCTCGGAGAAAGAAAGGAAATGATTAGCTGGCTTTGTTCCTTTATTTTCGACGCTTGATCGATCTAGTTGGTCACTTCCAAAGCCTGGATTTGACCAGGTGAATATCCATGGCAACTTTACTACGCCACTTGTCTAGGTCTAGGGAAAAGTTCAACAAAGATGAAGGATAATTTATACTCCTCATTTTCTCCCCTTCCTCATTCTCTCTCCACAATAATGAAGGGCTTAATACTTTTTAACCTTATGTTAATGTATTTTTCACTAGCTAAAACAATAGTTTTTTTTAGAATAGATGGAGTACCTCTGTTCATTAAATTCTTTGGATAAGCAAATGAACTATGTTTTGCCTTAAGTTGTACTCCGTCCGTCCTAGAATCATTTTTATTCCTCCCATTTGTTTCAAAATAAGTTTATTTTTAAGCAATCATTGCATTGAAGTAAATGAAAGTAGGGGATAAATGCATCAGGATCAATGGATAAAAAGAAGAATAATTGCATTGAGATTTGACGAAGTGGGAGTATTATATTTTTTTGGTTTTGTATTGGTATATGTGGAATAGGTGAAAAATAAACTTATTTTGAGGAAAGATTATGTACTAATGACAAATAAAAGACCAGAGGGAGTAATATAAATAGCTGGATTTATTTTTTTTTCTTTGCACATTTGTAAATGAACTTATTTTCCCTAAAAGTTTGAATTGTACTCCACTATGTAAGAAAATGATGTGGAGACAATGATTTGATATTACTGGCATATTGAATTCTAAAAATACAACACATGCTTAGCTAATAGATGATGATGTTGCACACTTACATGTGCTTTAAAATACTCTAGATAATAACTTGCTACTGAATGATGATGTGACACACTTGCATGTTGAGTTTTAAAAGTTAATGGACATCAACTATATAGACGGTATAGATAAGAATGTATAGTATGGATAGTCTAACCCGAACCATAAAAGTCAAATGTGGAACAAAAGTAAAACAAGCGAGCTTTTCAGAAGGTTGGGTGCAACCTACCGTTGTCTTTGCTACTTGCGACACTATTGCTGTTAGCTACACCGCAGTATCGCTGAATAACCCACACTATTGCTGTTAGCTACACCGCACTATTGCTGAATAACCCCAAGGCATAGATTAGTCTTGTGGTTTTCCAAACTACTTTTTTAGATTACCACTATCCGATGGTATATCATGATTATCAGGATAACCGTGAAAACCGTAAGTTTACCATGAAAAATTGTATGGTTAAAAATTTAACAAGGTAACCGCATATAAGTACCTCCGATAATCGTGACGTAACCGTACAATATTGTAATCGAGGACATTGTTGTCCCTGTAGGATGGAACACGTGGCCATACATGAAGCCATCCTAGAATACAATTCACGATTCACGCACTACAATGAATGTGGATTTCACCCCCAATTATTGAAGAAGATTGGAAACTTATATGAAGAATATTTTAGCATATGACGAGACGTACATCATGTTTCCATCAAAGATGAACACTGAGCCTGAGCCTGAGTCTGAATATTTCTGGTGACTGAAGAATGAGCTGGCTAGCAATCATAGTGAAGTAAACCATTCTTAGCTGGCAGGATCTCGCCGAGTAAAGCCTGATGTTTTCAATCAGCTTCGATTGCAAATTCCCGTGAAAAAAGGAATGTTTTTAAGTTGCTGTGCCAGGTGCTGCCCTTGAGCATCACCAGTGTGGTGTGTGGGCAATTGATTGAACCGTACAAGGTTTTGATTGGTGATTTGCCAATTGATTAATAAATTAATGCCCGTAGTTGCATATTGTTCCAGAGCTTAATTGGGTACTTGATTACATCATCATATATAGCGGCAGTGGTATAGTATACTAGGTATATAAAGTTTCTAGATCGAAACTCCACTAAACACTGCAGTCTCATATGGTACTAGAAATACTATATATTTCTACCTCCGTTTCGAAATGTTTGACGCAGTTGACTTTTTTAAACATGTTTGACCGTTCGTCTTATTCAAAAAATTTAAGTAATTATTAATTCTTTTCCTATCATTTGATTCATTGTTAAATATATTTTTATATAGGCATATAATTTTACATATTTCACAAAATTTTTTAAATAAGACGAACAGTCAAACATGTGCTAAAAAGTCAACGGTGTCAAATATTTCGAAACAGAGGGAGTATCATAAATGGAAACTCTTTGAAATTATACTTGTTCCCGGTACAAATCTAAATAAGTGAGAAGTGAAGCCCTTCATGCTGAACTACTGAGCCACGTCAGAAGATATGGACAGTCCGAATTTTGCTGCAGATGTTACTCCCCATCAGATCCTTTTATTGGTAAAATATCTTCTTTTTCCTTCAAGAAACCTCTATCTACTTTTACTACTTCCACGTCTCTAGATAATAAACTTAAATCATTTTCCATTTCGCTCCTTCCCTTCCCTAGCGGATCGCGATGACTCCTAGCTCTCTTTGCACGCAAAGCGCCGCCACCTTCATCTCCATCCCATCCCGCCGGTCTCAGCCTCTTTCTCCCCATCCCCTCTACCAAAGCCAGTCCTCCCCATCCCCATCGACTCTTCTCTTCTTCTCCGTCCTCTCCGCCGCTGCCTCCTATTCATCACCGCATCCAGCAGTGAAAGAAGGAGAGATAGAGGGGAAATGATAGACAAGGAGGAGAGGGAGATGAAGGCAGGGACGTAGATGAACTAGCAGACCGTCGATCCGGCGTGGAGGAAACATTATTGTTGAATTCTGATAATTCACATAAGTTGACATATGGAACTCATATATGGATTGTTAATGCAGTAATCATTTGTCCTATATATGAATTATTGATTCGATCATAGAAGCAATCAAATTGTACAGGATATATAACAGGAATTGCAGATATATATTACTAGCAACACAATTAGTTACAGGAATCCCAGATATTATTACTAGCTATACAATTAGGATCATCCGGAGTAGAAATATATAGTACACTAACAATAAATTCCACAACCATATGCTTTGCATTTACTGAAACTTATAAAAGGAGACAGCGAAATTATATCCAGGGTTTGACATTTTGGACTAAAATTTCGGATCCCTCCGATATGATATTATTTTGGCCAAAATTTTTCATTTTTTTAATTTTTCATGAATTTTGGTAATATTTGCTCAAAATTGACTAAATTTTGTTCTAAATTTTGGACCGAAATTTCTGAAATTTTGTCATATCGGCACTGCCCGATACAAAGGCCAAAAACGAAAAAGTGAACCCTGGTTATATCTACAGTGTTGCCATGCAATTTAATAGCGTTGTTCTTTTTCTATGCACTGTTGTCTTATCACAATAGGATGTAGCTGTATATATCTTATTTGTTGATTTTTCAGCAATCCTGGTATATATAATTCTATCGATTTATACAAGAAGAAGAAGAAGCTATGTTCACGTAACATTTGATCATTGATCTTATTAGAAAAATATTTCTTTGATGATAAAACAAGTCAGAACAAAATAAATAATATTTATATAATTTTTTTAAATAAGATGAATGGTCAAATTTTATATAAAAAGTCAACAATGTCATCCATTTTGGGACAGAGGGAGTATATATATTTTTTCTAGATTAATGAAGTTAGCACGGGTGTCTCGTTGTTGACGGGCATATCGTCTATCACTAAAATAATAATTAGTTATAGATGCGAGCACCCGTGTCAGTCTACAACTTAAAAATTCGAGTGGATTCGTTCCACCATAAAAACTCTAGCCAGTTGAACTACGCTCACCTCACGACGGAGTATATTACTTTGTATGTTTGGGTAGGTATGCTCCGGCCGTGACCTACCGGCTGGCTAGCGCCTGAGCACCCGCGCGTTGCTCGGCACGCAGGCGTGCCCCACCCTAGCTGCCCTGCCCTCTTCCTCCCGGCAAAACATGTCTGCCACAGTGCGTAGCTGGAACGTGCCAACGTACTTGTGTTACTAGGACTCTCTAGAGTACACAGATGCACTCACGCGCCAATCATTATTAACCACTCGCGCCCACGCCACAGCACAAACCATCATTCTCGAACACGTATCAATCAGCCTTGCTAGCTACTACAAGCAGCTATAAAAAGCGCAGAGGCAGGCAGACGAGATGAGATCGCCACAGCCAAGCTCTCGCACACACCGATCAGTCGGTCATAAACGCCATTAGACCAAGCTCAAGAAGAAGAAGAAGAAGAAGAAGAAGAAGAAGATGCGGCAGCAGCAGCAGAAGAGGAAGGTGGCGTCCGTGTCGTCGGCGCTGGTGATGTCGCTGCTGCCCATCCTCTACGCGTCGCTGCTCCGCCTCCCGCCGGCCGCGCTCGCCAGGGACACCACCTTCTGGTTCCTTCTCTCCAACTGCATCATCGCCATCATCGCCGCCGCCGACTCCGCCGCCGCCGCGCCAATAACAACTTCGTCGTCGTCGTCCCACGGCCACGACGACGTTGACGAACCGGCCCTCCTCGCCGCCGCCGTCGTCCCTGCTGCTCCTCCTCCTGCAGCGGGTGATGATCAGCTCCCCGCAGAAGCGCCGGTGGCCGTACGAAACGACGATGAGATCAACGAGCCGCCGTCGGCGCCGGCGGTGACATCGTCGGCGACGCCGTCCTCCGACAACCCGCCGGCGTTCATCGCCTCCGACGATGTCGCAACCGAGGGTGAACGGCCAGATCAGCAACCACAAGAAGCAGCAACCGACGGCGAAACCCACGGAGAGGCTGTCAAAGGAGACGACGACGAAGACGAAACAGCAAGCGACAAAACCACGACGACGAACAAGAGCCTCCCCTCGTCATCGTCAGAGGAGCTTGCGATTGTCACCTCCAACAACGACGACGATTACGACGACGGCGGTGACTCTGCGTCGTTTGGCGAGGAAGACGAAGGGAAAGTAGTGCCGTGGGGCATGCCGGCGCCGGCGACGACGACAGGCGGCGGCGGCGGCGGCAAGCAGTACTGGCAGCTGAGCGACGAGGAGCTGAACAGGAAGGTGGAGGAGTTCATCACCCGGTTCAACCGAGAGATGAGGCTGCAGATCCTGCAGGAAGCCGGTGTCTGACTCACCCACTCACTCACAGCTACACCTCCATCACAGTGGCGGATCTGCCGTGAGGCGGCGAGGGATCGAGTCTCCACTACTGACAATAGGACTATGAGAGTCTTTCGAGTCCTCCTAAAATTTTCTACCACATATATCTATTGGAAGAAGTTATGTACATGTGTAGTTTGTTCAGTCTCCTACTATTTCTTCTTGGATATGATCCACCTTCTAGTATATATGTTCATATAATAGCATGCAACTATTATATATTTGTATTGCATATAGATGTACAGGTTATATATAATACAAGCGCATCATATATGTTAATTAGTTTGCTTATGTACGTCGTTAATTTGTGATAGAGTATAGTGTACTCCTTATGTCCTATTAAAAAAACCTAATCCCCCATTCTAATCCTAAGTTTTAATTCGGATTAGGTTTTTTATGGGACGGATGATTGAGTTTTTTAGGGGTAGAGGGAGTAGTGTACATGCATTTTCTTTGTGCACAGTGCACATGCCATGTAATGCAGGTTTCAGGCTTGTTTGCAGTGTTATACACAAGACTGTTTTGTTCGATGAGAGCGACATGTTAGATATGACATGGATCGAGTCAGCTACCTAAAGAAGCTTCGGATGATAAATCTACACGTACGTACGGCCGGGCCGGCCATGGCGATATCAAACATTAAGGCTGGAATTAAGGTGACAGTTCACTCTGGAGTGTGAAGTGATGTCACGGATACAAATCAGGGCACGATTTAGTCATGGATATCGAGCTATCGAGAGCCGTTCGTTTACTGTGCTCGGTGAAATCATGTCCACATATATACGAAATCTGCAGCGAGCCAGACATAGCATCGATCAGTCACTCCCCAAAACCTGCAAATTAACTCGTCCACTGATCATTCTGCGGTTCATCTCACAAGTTCTCCTTTTCTAAGGGAGCCTATGCATCGCCAGTCTTATCTAACAGCTTAACCTCGAGCACACAAAATATTAGTACTAACTCCACTTTTAAGTATATGGATTTTTTGAATTTTTTACATAACTTATGAACTTACGGTTTAATAAAAATTTACTATGGATATAAAAAATATAAATCATGATTAAAGTATATTTAATAATACAAGATGGTATAGAAAAATAAATAACATTCATGTGTTGGGTCTTAAAAGAACATTTTCAACACGATTAAGCCTGTTCAAACAAAACCTGGCTCGGCCCACATACGCACCAGGCTGGGCATGGGCCTCCATTTTGTGGTCTGAAAGCCTGAAAAAAAAGGAGGAAAAAGTACACCGAAGGTCCCTCAACTTGTCAGTGAGATACAAAAACATCCTTGAACCGCAAAACCAGATATGCGGGGTCCCTTAACTATATAAAACGGTCACTCGAGGTCCCTTGGTGGTTTTGACGCCCGATTTGACCTACGTGACGGCTGAGTCAGCATGGGCCCCACATTTCAGGGTGCCACCTCATCTCTTCCATCTTATTTCCCTCTTCTCCCTTTCTCTCACTTTTCTCAGGCTGGTGACGGGCGGCGATGTGGGGAGGAGGCCACCGGGGGGAGGGGAGAGAAGGAGGTCCGGTAGCCGGTTGGAGGCAACGCCACCGTCAGCATCATCGTTGCCGCCGCCGTGGCACAACGCCGCCCGTCGTCGGCTATTTTGCCACTGCTGACTCCGTCGCCTCGGCACACTAGCCGCGCTCCGCCGCCGCCCTCGCTAGCGCGATATCGTCGATGGCTTCCACCCGGAAAAGCTCATCGTCGCCGGCTGTAGTTTAGGACCCGCGTGCCGCCGCCACAAAAAAAACTCCGACGTCCGCACCGAGGAGGACATGCGGAGAGAGGGGTTGGAGCCGTGCTGGCCGGAGGAGCACGACGGCTACCGTGGTGACTCACCGCCGCTGTTCCCCTCCACTCCCCTCTTTCTCTTTCTCTGCCCTGAGCTCGCCAGTGCCGCATCTATCTGCACTGCCGCCACCGCCGCCGCATCTATCTCTCTCTCTCTCTCTCATCACCGACACGGATTGCTCCTTGGAGAGGCGTAGCTTCTTGCGCCGCTGCATCCACGGTGGTAGTCGTCGCCGCGGCGAGCGGCGCCGGCAAGCTGTCGCTGTGGGCGCTGGTGAAATTGTGGCGCCGCTCCCTCCTCTCCCACTAACGCCGCCGCACGCTGCTCCCTCCTCTTCTGCTTGTGGCCATCGGGGAGAAGGGCGGCGGACTTGGTGGGGCCGCCACGTCGCCGTCTTGCTCCCCCTGCGGCCACCAAGCTCCTCTCGCCGCCGCCGACGCCCCTCCCCTGCTCCCGCGTCGCCGCCTTGCTCCCCTCGCCGCCGCCTTGCTCTCCTCCCCGCTGCCGCCTTGCTCTCCTCCCTGTCGTCTTGCTCCCCCCACGGCCGCCAAGCCCTTTTCGCTGCCGTCGATGCCCCTCCCCTGCTCCCGCGTCGTCGCCGCCTTGCTTCCCTCGCCGCCGCTTTGCTCTCCTCCCTGTTAGAGTTAGAGATAATGTGTGCATGTGATAATGCATGTGATAACAGAATAGAAGTTAGAGATAATCTTGGGGTTAGTTTGGATTGAGATGTAATTCTGTTATATATGTAAAACCACGTTGGAGGTTGTTTCCAACACTAATCAATATATACGTGCGGCCTCGTACAGAGGTGATAACGCTTCCTAAAAGTTTTATATGGTATCAGAGCCATACTAGCCACAAACAGATCAATCTGGCGATGGCGAGTTCCTCCAGCAGCGCCGGGAGTCCTTTTTCCGGTCAGGCGGTCGCAGAGAAGCTCACCCGGACGAACTTCCTTCTGTGGAAGGCGCAAATCCTCCCGGTGATCCGCGGTGCCCGCATGGAAGGGTACTTGACAGGCGCGACACAGGCCCCGCTGGCTGTGATCGACGCCAAAGATGGAGAAGCGACCGTCAAGGCGTCGAAGCCGGCGTTCGAGATGTGGATAACGGCGGACCAACAGGTGCTGGGTTTCCTTCTTTCCACACTTTCCAAAGAGATCCTCACCCAAGTCATCAGTATGGAATCTGCCGCACAAGTATGGAAGGCCATCACGGAGATGTTGTCTTCCCAATCACGTGCGCGTGCTTTGAACACGCGGCTGGCGCTCGCGACGACCCTCAAGGGCGATCTCAGCGTCTCTGATTACATCAGTAAGATGAAAGTCCTCGCCGACGAGATGGCATTCGCCGGCAAGCCGCTTGATGACGAAGAACTCATTTCCTACGTCCTGGCTGGCCTCGACGACGACTACGAGCCGGTCGTCTCCTCTCTCGTCGGCAAGTCGGAGGTTGTCTCCCTCGCCGAGTGCTACTCTCAACTCCTGAGCTTCAAGTCCAGGCAGAAGCTTCGTCATGCGGCTGCACATCAGGCTTCGTCCGTCAACGCGGCCAGGCGCGGTGGCGGAAAGGGCGGTGGATACACTCCCTTCAATCGCGGCGGGCGCAGCGGTGGCAACAACAACGGCAGGCGCAGCAACAATGGAGGTGGACGTGGTGGCCGCGGCAACAACAATGGAGACCGGGGTGGCAAACCACATCCTGTGTGCCATCTATGTGGCAAAACGGGGCATGTTGTCGCCGATTGTTGGTACAGGTATGATGAGAATTTTGTGCCTGAAAATAAGATAGCTGCTGCAGCCTCATATGGTGTAGACACAAATTGGTACGTGGACACTGGAGCCACGGATCATATCACTGGAGAATTGGACAAATTGACGACTCGGGAGAAGTATAATGGCAAGGATCAGATATATACGGCAAGTGGTGCAGGTATGGACATTAAACATATTGGTCATTCTGTTATTTGTACCCCTACTCGCAATATATACTTGAAAAACATCCTTCATGTTCCCAAAGCCAAGAAAAATTTACTTTTTGCTCATCGCTTAGCCCTTGATAATCATGCCTTTGTTGAAGTTCATTCTCGTTTCTTTGCCATCAAGGATCAGGTAACGAGGAATCTTCTTCTTAGAGGGCCTTGCCGCAACGGTCTCTATCCCATACCAAAATCGTCGTCATCTTCGTCCAAGCAAGTCCTCGGAGTCATCAAACCCACTATTTCCAAGTAGCATAGTCGTTTGGGTCATCCGTCTTTTTCTATAGTTCAGAGAGTTGTGAACAATAATAATCTCCCATGTTTAGGAGATCTTAATGAGTTAGGTGTGTGTGATGCTTGTCAAAAGGCTAAGAGTCATCAACTTCCCTATCCTAAGTCTTTCAGTGTGTTTAGTCATCCCCTAGAACTTGTTTTCTCAGATGTTTGGGGTCCTGCTCCTGATTCTGTTGGTGGCAGAAAATATTATGTTAGTTTTATAGATGATTTTAGTAAATTTACTTGGATCTATTTGCTTAAAAAGAAGTCTGAAGTTCTTCAGAAATTCTCTGAGTTTCAACAGCTTGTTGAAAGACTATTTAATCGCAAAATTATTGCTATGCAATCTGATTGGGGAGGAGAGTATGAAAAACTTAATGCCATTTTTACTAAAATTGGGATCACTCATCATGTCTCTTGTCCCTATGCTCACCAACAGAACGGTTCCGCAGAACGTAAACATAGACACATTGTTGAAGTTGGTCTCTCCTTACTTGCTCATGCTTCCATGCCTCTCAAGTTTTGGGATGAGGCTTTCCTTACAGCTACTTATCTTATTAATCGCACACCAAGTAAAGTTATACAGTACTCGACGCCTTTAGAGCGTCTCTTGAATCAAAAACCAAATTACTCCTCCTTGAGAACCTTTGGATGTGCGTGTTGGCCGAATCTTCGACCCTATAATAATCGCAAACTTCAGTTTCGCTCAAAACAGTGTGTTTTTCTTGGCTATAGCAATATTCATAAAGGGTTCAAGTGTCTTGATGTTGCAACTGGCAGAGTTTATATTTCTAGAGATGTTGTGTTTGATGAAAATATTTTTCCCTTCTCACAACTTCACTCTAATGCCGGGGCTAGACTACGGTCAGAAATCTTGCTTTTGCCATCTACACTGTTGAATCCTGAAATTGCTAGTAGGGGTATGCAAGTGAATGATCATATGTCTAATGCTCCCTCTGGAGAATCTAATATTATTTCTGAGCATGCACCTGAACAGGAAGCAGGAGGTTCAAATATAAATGCACCTACAGATACACATGATACAGAAGATCCTGGTGCTGGCGGCAGTACTGGATTTGATGAAAATACTGCTGGAAGTGATGGACCTGACGGCAGTGATGGATTTGATGGGTCAGCTGCTGGCTCAGATCCCGGCGATGGCAGTACAGAAGTTGGGAGCAGCAGCAGCAGCGCTGTCGGCAGTCCTAGCACTGGGAACGGCGGCAGTAGTGGTGCGTCAGTCAATCCAGGACCAGGGAGTGCATCGGCAACAGAACCAGCCCGTCATGGTGGTGCGACAGGTGATGAGACACATACTAATCAGATTATTCCTGAGCAGGTGCACCAGCCAAGTCGTCCAACCACAAGGTTGCAGAGGGGAATAAGGAAGGAAAAAGTCTATACTGACGGAACAGTAAGGTATAATCTTCTAGCCTGTACTGGTGAACCACAGTTTAGATCAAGTATTAGTTGATCAAAATTGGAAACAAGTCATGGATGCAGAATTTACAGTCTTAATTAATAATAAAACTTGGCACTTAGTTCCGCCTCAGAGTGGTAGAAATATTATTGACTGCAAGTGGGTTTATAAAATTAAACGGAAAGCTGATGGTAGCCTGGATAGATATAAAGCTCGTTTGGTAGAAAAAGGGTTTAAACAACGTTATGGAATTGATTATGAAGATACTTTTAGTCCTTTTTGTTAAGACTGCTACTATTAGAGCTATATTATCTATTGCTATATCTAGAGGTTGGTGTCTTCGACAGTTTGATGTACAGAATGCCTTTCTTCATGGTGTTCTTGAAGAAGAGGTGTATATGAGACAACCGCCTGGCTATGAGGATAAGAGTAAGCCTAATTTTGTTTGCAAGCTAGATAAGGCTTTATATGGATTAAAACATGCACCTTGAGCTTGGTATTCTAGGCTGAGCAGTAAGTTATGTGATCTTGGCTTCAAGGCATCCAAGGCATACACTCATTGTTCTTTTACAGAAAAGGAAATGTTACTATTTTTGTACTTATATATGTTGATGATATAATTGTAGCAAGTGCTACACAGGGTGCTGCTGAGGCTTTGTTGAAAGATTTAAAACAAGAGTTTGCTCTCAAGGATTTAGGTGATTTACATTATTTCCTTGGAATAGAAGTTAACAAGGTAAGAGATGGTATCAGATGGTATCTTGTTAACTCAAGAAAAATATGCCTCTGATCTACTAAAGAGGGCAGGTATGTCAGATTGTAAACCTGTTGCTACACCTATGTCCAATACAGAGAAAATGTCAGTTCATAGTGGTTCTGTTCTAGGGGAACATGATGCAACTAGATATAGAAGTATTGTTGGAGCTTTACAGTACTTGACTTTAACTCGACCAGATATTTCTTTTTCAATAAATAAGGTTTGTCAGTTTTTACATAGTCCTACCACGCAGCATTGGATGGCAGTCAAGAGGATTTTGAGATATATTAAGTCTTCTGTTGGTCTTGGTCTTAAGATTAACAGGTCTTCTTCTACTCTTGTTAGTGCTTTTTCTGATGCAGATTGGGCAGGATCAGTAGATGACAGAAGATCAACAGGTGGATTTGCAGTCTTTTTGGGATCAAATCTGGTATCATGGAGTGCTAGAAAATAGGCTACAGTTTATAGGTCAAGTACAGAAGCTGAATATAAAGCGGTAGCAAATGCTACAGCAGAGGTAATGTGGATTCAGATTTTACTTCAGGAAATTGGGGTTCAAGTTCCGTCGACAGCTAAGTTGTGGTGTGATAATTTAGGAGCTACATATCTGTCAGTCAATCCTGTGTTTCATGCCAGAACTAAGCATATAGAAGTGGATTATCATTTTGTTAGAGAAAGAGTTGCTAGGAAGCAACTGGAGATAAAATTTATATCTTCTGGTGATCAAGTGGCAGATGGTTTTACTAAACCAATCTCTGTTCAACAGCTTAGAGATTTTAGAAACAATCTTAACTTAGATAAGTTATGATTGAGGGGGGCTGTTAGAGTTAGAGATAATGTGTGCATGTGATAATGCATGTGATAACAGAATAGAAGTTAGAGATAATCTTGGGGTTAGTTTGGATTGAGATGTAATTCTGTTATATCTGTAAAACCATGTGGGAGGTTGTTTCCAACACTAATCAATATATACATGCGGCCTCATACAGAGGTGATAACGCTTCCTAAAAGTTTTATACTCCCCGCCGCCGCCTTGCTCTCCTCCCCACCCGTCCTGCCCAGAGCCAGAGAGAGAAGAGTGGGAGAGAGAGGAGGAAGGGAGAGAAGAGGGGAAAGAGAAAGTAGGATGACCTAGACAGGCTGACACGTGGGGCCCATGCTGACTCAGCCGCCACGTAGGACAAAACCGGCGTCAAAACCGCCGAGGGACCTTGGGTGACCGGTTTTGTATAGTTAAGGGACCCCGCATATCTGATTTTGCAGTTCGAGGACGTTTTTGTATTTCGCTGACAAGTTGAGGGAGCTTCGGTGTACTTTTTCCAAAAAAGGAAGAAACCTGAACATGAATCAGGTTTAGGCCTGTTTTTATGTGCTGAAAAGGCTTAGGCCGGGCGGAAAAACTAGCTGGCGTGCGCGCCAGCAGCACGCGTTTTTTGCGTGTTAACGTAACTAACTCGGTTAATTAAGGATAATGATAGTAATTAAGAAAAGTTTTTTCTTGTTTTCAATTTATTTACTAGCAGGTTGAAAACTTTCAACTTAATATTTAAACTTTGAAGTCAAATTTGAAAACTTTCAACTCATATTTGAAAACTTTCAACTCGAGATTTGAAAATTTTCAAGTCCAGATTTGAAAAGTTTTTAGTTAAGATTTGAAAATTAAAAATTTTGAAAACTTTGAACTTAAATTTGAAAACTTTCAACTCAAGATTTGAAAACTTTCAAGTCCAGATTTGAAAATTTTTAAGTTAAAGATTTAAAAATTTTCAAGTCAAGATTTAAAACTTTCAACTCAAAATATTTGAAAATACGTGTGCTAAAGATTACAAAAATTATTAGAAAAAAAAGTAAAAAGGAAAGAAAAAAATCGTGGAAAAAAGGAAAGAAAAAAGAAACCACGCGGGGAAGCGGCGCCGTGTGCGCGCCAATTAGCAACACCCTAGGGCGGGCTCAGCTGTACATTTTTGGCTTAGGTTTTTATAGGCCCAGTCTTGCATAAGGTTTGAACAAGCCCAAATACAAGATTTTAAAATACAAAAGGGATATTAGGATAAATAAAAGAAGTTAAAAATTAATCTGTCCTATTCTAATATCTTTCGAGCTACGTATAAAACATGTTCGATATAGAGGTTAACCGGCAACGACCAATGAAGACACAAAGAATATTATAGGCTAGGCAATGACCCCAAGGAGCATATCACCACAGAGGGCAAACCAATGAGAAAATGGACATTTAGCCATCTTCAAAACACGGTTTTGCTAGAATGCCATCTTCAAAACGTGATTCGATAAAATGCCAATATCAAGGCCATGCAACTCGCCAGATTGCCATTTTCTTATTTTCTCTTAATTCCGAAATCATTTTGCCTCTTCTTTGTGGTGATTAGACGGAAATGCCCTTGGGGCCAATGGCAAGTCCATCTCTTCTCTTTCTTTCTCTCCTTCTTCGTTTTGTGCCGCCGGCGGATATGGTCGAGCGCGGCGAGGTGGTCGTCGTCGTTGCTGACGAGGGCATCGACCTGTCGGGGATGCGGCGGAACAAGTTGGCGACGATGGTGTGGGACAGGGCGAGGCCGAGCAAAGGCCATGGGGCTTGGTTGATGGCAGCGATGAAGAAAACGTCTCAGCAGCGGCTCCGAGCTCCGGCGAGACGATGCCAACTCATTCCATTCGATATGAAGGCATGCATGTGCATCCATGAGGTTGGTTAGGTCCCAGGGATGGTGCATGCGCAAAGAATCGACGAGGGGGTCACCGGAGCGGAGAGAATCGAAGATTGACGCCGACGGCCGAAGTTGGAGAAGACGATGTCGATCTCCCTCCTCGATGCTCCATTCTTCTCGGTTCTTGAGGGGTTTTGAAGAGGACCTCAAGAAGGAGCTGATGGCGTGGTGGCTTGCTCCGGGATGGATGAGGATGGCCGGACATCGACGATGCCGAAGCGGCGGCGCTCCAGGACGACGATGGCACGACGGTGTTCCCGTTGCTACAATGGATCAAACGCGATGGCGTCAAAAGAAAGTTTGTTCTGCAAGATGAATTGAGTATGGAACGCAAAAGGGATAAGGACGACCGTGGCTTGGTGATGAATATGATCATCGTCTTCATCTCGGCTGGCGATGGGATTGAGACCAAAGAGGCAGCCCATGCTTGTTCTCTCGATGTGGTCGGCAGTAGGGTGGAGAGTGAGATGGGACGACGGAGTTGGGAGAAGACCATAGCTACCGCCGCCGCCGCCACTCAATGCGCCGGCGAGGCCATGGTATTTTGTCCCCTGCTCGCCGCGCTCACGAGGAAGGGCAATTTCGTCTCATCATCCGGTGGAGGAGAAAAAAATGATTTCGAAAATGCACAAAATGGCAAAAATGGCAAAGTGGCGGTGAGTGCGCGTTTCATATTGGCATTTTAGCGAAACGCGTTTTCGAAATGGTATTCTAGCGAAACCATGTTTTGAAAGTGGCTAAATGTCCATTTTCTCCAAACGAATAGGGGTCCTTCCCCTTTAGAGGTAGCTAATGATGGTCGAAAATAGAGGCAAAGTCGGTGCACTAGGTAGAGGAAGTGAGGGATTAGTGAAGGGTGTTGCATGGGATAATAAGGAAGAGGTGAGATGGGCTAGCCACCGGTCATCAAACGCATGATTAAATTGAAGGCCTCTAGCTTAAATATACTTAGTTTGAAAAATGTTGTGATGTCTATAAGACCAAAGAAAGTGATGCTTGTAAGTCAAGGTGGCTAGTTAGGGATCAGGGTCATGGGTGAGGTCTACGATATACCATTGTCTATCCTTGACAAAAGACAAACAAAATAAAAATTGGTTGCCCGAGGAGAATGCTACTCCTGGTGGCAGTTATCTTGATGAATGTTCCTGGATAAGAAAACATATGTTTGTGAATGTTGATTTATGTATTGAGTCTCGGTAGGTTTATATAAACTCTAATTTAGATCATAATACTATCTTTATACATCTCTAAATGTTATATACTTTTTTTTTGGAAATATACGACTAGCGTATATACAAGAACTTATATTCGATTCCAAATTTTATCGTCATTTTACCACATTTCATCAATACCATTATTCTTTTGCAAGTATTCTGACAGTGACGTCTCTGAAATACTACAGGCACCCCCGTCATCCGAATCATGGATATCTCGGTCTTTTTCCTCACAAGACAACCATACAAACAACTTGCACCGCTTATATGTTAAATGAAAGTGACGCATAAAGGGCAAACAATAATAAAATTCAGCGACTTTTTTTTTCTGCGCCGACAACGATTTCACGTGCACGCTAACTGAAAGCATAAAAGATATTTTTTCTGTTTTTTTTTTGCAAACTAGCGTAAAAGGTATTTCCTCCGGTCATGTTTTTGCTTTTATGAAACGAAAAGAAGATATTTTTTTCTAACAAAAATCCAATTTACTTTCTCCAACTATTTTATTGGATCACTTAACCACCTAAAATATTTTTAAAATGTGACATGGCTACTTAGGTTATTATATTTTGAGACGAAGATAATAAAAATATATTTAATAAAAAAAGAACACAAAGATGTTTGTGACTTGTATTCTCTGTTTAGGTTTTATTATTGTAACTTAAGGTTATAAGAAACAACCATTTGATAACTAGTTTTTAAAAAATCTGGAGAAGCTATGAGTTTAAACTCATAGTGTATTTTCTTAATTCTATATAATCACGTCATTTCAGAACATAAATAAAAAAATTAAACGATTTAAATAAACTTTTGATTATACGAAAAACCATACCCGCTGCCTGGAATCCCTCGCAGATAATCCCACCAACAAGCAGAAACATACAAACATCCAGACGGAACGCATGCCGAACGGTCGAACGGATGGCTCGGCCCGGGACTTATCGCGGGGGGAGGGGGATCGGATCCTAACGGGAAAGACGGGAAAATCTCCGGCATCGCCGCCAATTTCTCCCGCACGCCGCGGCGCTGCTCCCCCTCCCCTACCCACACACTCCACCACCATCACCACCACCACCACCACCCGCACGCGCGCCGCAACAACCTCACTACTGCCTATCCTACCTATATGGCACGGGGTGTGGGTCCCTCCGATTCCCCCGCCACGCCACTCCTCTCCCCTCCCCACGCAACCGCCTTCCTCCGCCGCCGCCGACGCCGACGCCGACGCCGACCCCTTCTCCCAATCTGCGGATTCCAGCGGGGGTCCCCCCCCCCTCCCACCGGCGGCGCCCGGTGGTCGTGGTCGTGGGGGAGGGGAGTCAACGAACGAGCCGAGCCGCCCGCTTGCCGGAGCTCTCTATCTATCTCTCTATCTCTATCTCTATCCCTCCAGATTCCCTCCTCCATCGAATCTCTGATATTTGGAGGGAGCGACTCGACGCAGCATCGCATCGTAAGGAAGGTCCCCTCCACTGTCGATGGATGTGAGGTTTCTTTCCAATTTTTTTTCTTCCTTTATTATTAATTATTAATCTCTCTCTCGCTCACAAGCATACCATGCGTTTCATGTGCCATTATGCCTCATCAGTTTGATATGATATACGGTATGGATGGTCTCTAGTCTCTGTCATCAATCGATCGCATTTACTACATAGATATGGAACTAACATGGAAGAAAAAGTTGTCAGATTCTTTTCCTCCAATCTGTATTAGGAAAAATAATTTGTCATCAGTTGATCGCATTTAATACATAGATATGGAACTAACAGGGAAGAAAAAGATGTCACCAGTTGATTCTTTTCCTCCAATCTGTATTAGGAAAAATAAGTTGTCATCAGTTAATTATTTGTATTTTTCGTAATAAGTGTGTGTGTGGAAAGGACATTCCTCCAATTTGTATTAGGAAAAATAAGTTGTCATCAGTTAATTATTTGTATTTTTCGTAATAAATGTGTGTGTGGAAAGGACAGGGAAGAAAAGAACTTGCAAAAGTGTAATTGCAAGGCAATTGATTTGATGCTACTTTTGTGGGGGTGCTCCTGTTTATTTATATATATGCCTATTCTTTTGCACTAAGCAGCAGCACCAGCTCGACGAGGAGAACCAGAGAGCCGCGCTCTTCCACTCCTCTGCCCCATCTTCCTCTTTGGGAGCTGACGGGGAGGAGGAGAGGGAGACTGTGCCGCTGCTGTCCTGCAAGATGGCCGACGATAAATCTGACACTGTCCAGGTCTCCGAGGATACGGCGCACCAGATTAGCATTGGTAATTTTTCATCAACCGTTCTTTGTTAATGTCTAGGCGAATGTCTTATGAATGATCGTGTGATGTGTTCTCTCCTTTCTTTTCATAATTGCGATCCTTAAGTCTTCCTAGCCTCCTAGTTGAACACCACGGCGCCTGCATATATTTCTCCTTTCTTTTGTCCTCATAACCTATCGGACAAATAGACACTGGTTGTTCCTTAGCCACAGATAGGTAAAGAAAAAGAAGATCTGATTCATATTCATCATCTTGAGGCCTAATTCATTAAAAGAGCTGGAACATGAAGCAATTTCCTTTTGTCTTTAATTTCTTACAATTTTCAGTTGTGGCTCTTCTTACTGCTTTTAGCTGTTCCCTCTGAAAATATAAACTTGATGCAGAGCCACAGACCATGGGTTGTCATTTTGGCTTAAAAAAAACATTGACCTTATGTGGTGCGTATGATTATTGATTGACTTACGAAACACTTTTTTTTTCACTTTCAGATCCCTGGTATCAAGTTGGATTCATTCTGACAACCGGGGTGAATAGTGCATATGTTCTGGGATATTCTGCATCAATCATGGTCCCTTTAGGCTGGATTGGTGGGACATGTGGCTTGATTCTAGCTGCTGCAATATCCATGTATGCAAATGCTCTTCTTGCTCACCTTCATGAAGTTGGTGGCAAACGCCATATCAGATACAGAGATCTTGCTGGGCACATATATGGTAAATATTAATACACTCAGTTCCCTCATTTGGCAAATATTCGATAAGGCATAGTTTCATTCTCTTTCCTTTTTTTCTTTAACTGTGCATGTTTCTTAATCATTCCCCTCACACCATATTTTTTGTATTTCATACTATTTGAATTTCTTTCCTTTTTTTTCTTTAACTGTGCATGTTTCTTAATCATTCCCCTCACACCATATTTTTTGTATTTCATACTATTTGAATTGGTTATGAAAAACTTGCTCTGGGTTTTGTTTATTAATAAAAAAATGGTAATTTTGCTTTTGCAGTATGACTGAATTACCTTTATTTCAGGTAGAAAAATGTATTCGCTTACATGGGCTCTGCAATATGTTAATCTATTCATGATCAACACTGGCCTTATCATTTTAGCTGGTCAAGCCCTGAAGGTACAGAGCAATCACCATCACCCAACTCTTCTTATGGTGAAATGCCGTGTTATTTCATAACAAGAGTTGGGCCCTTCTATTCATTATCTCAGTATCTAAGTTTAGATTTTTTTTTCTTTTTGGGAATACACATGTTGAATTTCACTGGGAAATCTTTTTCCCTCCTGGACTCATTTGTGAACTTCCTTTCTGCAGGCAATATATGTATTATTTAGGGACGATGGAGTTCTAAAGCTACCCTACTGCATAGCATTATCTGGGTTTGTCTGTGCTCTTTTTGCCTTTGGAATCCCTTATCTGTCTGCTCTCAGGATTTGGTTGGGATTATCAACAGTTTTCAGTCTCATCTATATAATGATAGCATTTGTCATGTCGCTTAGAGATGGTATTATACTTTGGTTCCTTGTTCATCTGTCCTTAATTTCTTGTGCATTTCCATTTGTTGGCATAACAAGCTACTCGTACAAAAATTTCATTACTGGTTTTCTTTTGAAGGGATTACCACACCTGCAAAGGATTATACTATTCCTGGATCACATTCAGATAGAATCTTCACTACGATAGGTGCTGTAGCAAACCTTGTGTTCGCTTACAACACTGGAATGCTCCCAGAAATTCAAGTTAGTCAGTTTAGTACATATGGCCAGTGACTAGTTTATTTACCATGATATTACCTTATGTGTATTATATATTGCAGGCAACCATAAGGCCTCCTGTGGTCAAGAATATGGAGAAGGCTCTATGGTTCCAGTTCACTGTTGGTTCGTTGCCTCTTTATGCTGTCACCTTTATGGGGTATTGGGCGTACGGGTCCTCAACATCAAGCTATCTACTGAATAGTGTGAAGGGACCAATTTGGATAAAAACTGTGGCAAATTTATCGGCGTTTCTTCAGACTGTCATAGCATTACATGTATGTCCACCTTACTATATATCTAGTCCAAGCTACATTATTGTCAATTAGTAATGGTTATTTCTTTTTCAATTTGATTTGTTTATAATCAAATTGACACTCAATGAAGTAACATGAGGTCGTTTTCTATATATGCCAGATATTTGCAAGCCCAATGTACGAATTCTTGGACACAAGATTCGGCAGTGGACATGGTGGTCCTTTTGCAATCCACAACATAATGTTCAGAGTGGGTGTCAGAGGAGGCTACCTGACCGTCAACACCTTGGTGGCCGCGATGCTCCCCTTCCTTGGCGACTTCATGAGCCTGACGGGTGCACTCAGCACCTTTCCCCTGACATTCGTTCTTGCAAATCACATGTACCTCACGGTGAAGCAGAACAAGATGTCCATCTTCAGGAAATGCTGGCACTGGCTGAACGTTGTTGGCTTCAGCTGCTTGTCCGTCGCAGCTGCGGTTGCTGCGGTGAGGCTAATCACGGTCGACTACAGTACATACCATTTGTTTGCTGATATGTGAGGCTGGAAAGTGCAAGCATGCAGCCCTGGATCAGCTGTAAATTCGTCCTCTTCTTTTTTATTTTTTTGGTTAGGGGATGCATGTAGGTCGATAGAATGATGGAGATTGCAATAAATAATTTGGCTAAAATGTTGTCCAGATTTGGTTGTTTGAGGTGCAAGATGTTTGCCTCAAAACGTACCGCTATGGTTCACTTTTTAAGAACTGTACTGCTACCTCTGTTTGCGGAGATTTTTGTCTGCAGGCATGCAGGATGAATATTATTCAAGTGCTCTAATAGTTTGATCTCAGCAACATCAAACTGTCCTTAGATATAGACATAGATAAAACCACCTTTTAATTTTGTGAATTTTAATCTTAATTCGGAGAATTTGGCACTAAACAATTTTCCTTTTTGTTTACAAATTAGGCCCTGTTTAGTTTAGCGGTGAAAAGTTGTTGTGTGTCACATCGGATATATGGACACACATTTGAAGTATTAAACGTAGTCTAATAACAAAACAAGTTAAAAATTCCACCTGTAAACTGCGAGACGGATTTATTAAGCCTAATTAATCCGTCATTAGTAACTGTGGCACCACATTTTCAAATCATGGAGCAATTAGGTTTAAAAGATTCGTCTCGCAATTTACACGCAATCTGTATAATTAGGTTTTTTTTCTATATTTAATACTTCATGCATGTGTTTTTTTCTATATTTAATACTTCATGCATGTGTCTAAACATTCGATGTGTCAGGGTGACGAGTTTTTTTTGCGTAGAACTAAACAGGGCTTAAATGCCTCTGTGACGGTATTTCAAGAAAAATCTACAATTCTTCCAAAACCACTCCATATCCTAATTTTAGTGGATGGTCCGCATCATGTAAAAAATAATCACTAATTATGATTATAATCAGTTTCTAAATTTTAGAATTAATTTTGTAGCATTTTTGTCACTTTCATTGCCCGCGCTCTTAACTTAATTGCTAAAAAGACAAGTAATAAATCTAACTAAAAAATATTCTTTGAAATCAAACTTTAAAAATTCAACATGCTTACAGCTATTTTTAGCTTCTAATGATGAAGAGTATAAATAGATCACTCTAGAGCTTTTCTTTGGTTTGCTTATCCTTATGCTTATAAACCTTTTGATTTTTAAAAATTAATTTTGAAGTTGATTTTATGGTTTTTCCTTTTATTGTACTTTATCTTATAACATTTTATTTTGAATCGATTAGGACACGGATACAAAAATTTCACCCACAACTGTTTTTTTATTGCTAATATACTATACATATACATATAAGTACAAGCATAAGCAAAATAATGAAGCTGTTATTATAATCCGAATAAAGATATGGTCATCGTGGCCATTCACAGTACAAGACACTACTATGAGTACAAGACACTACTATGAGGAGCATCAGACTCCCACATAGGATGAAGATAGAGGTCCTAAATCAGTTTCTCTCACAGTGCAAAGTGGTTCTAGGGGTGTTTTAATTTTGCATGTCAACCTATGTCATTTTCTATTTTAGTCCTCATATTTTGTAATTTTTAGGGGACCCAATATTTTACACCAAACACCCTAGAAATAAAAATAAATAAATTCGCCCTCCATCCTCATCCAGTCATCCCGCACTCCCTCTAACATTTCCCCTCTCCATCGCTCTCCCCCCACACCAGCGCCGCTCTCCATCCCCATCTCTGCCACTTCCTCTTCCCCACCGCTAGTGGAGCTCCCTTTCCACTCCACCGCCGGCACCGCTTCCCCTTCCCCTACCGGTGGCGCCGCTCTCTCTCGCACCCCAAAGTTGGCACCACTCTCTCTCTCTCTCTTCCACCGGCACCACTCCCTCCACTTTCCTCCACTATTGCTCGACTGAGCCACGCTGATGGCCACCCCTGCGCCCCCTCCTCGTTAGATCCAGCCTAAGACTCACCGGATCTGGCCTTGGGAGACAACGACGAGAGCCATGCGAACTTCTCCTTGACCCGGGCCAAGGTCTGTGTGAGCATGGTTTCTAGGAAGAAGATCTTGGGGATGGAGAGAAGGTCGTGCTCTAGTGCTTGGCAGGGAGCGGAGGAGCGCACGGGTGATGAAGACACGGTGGCTAGCATTGGCTGGTCGAGGGGATTGTTGGGCCTATTTGGTTCTCTACCCTACCAATTCAATGGTAGTGCCAAAATCTAGGCAAATTTTGGCGCTACCAATTCTTTGGTAGGGTAGAGTTCATATAAATGTGTTTGGTTTGCTACTATTTGCTATCAATATGCTTTTTATAGTGAAGAAAGTTCTAGAGTACTACCAAATTAGGTATGAGCATTGCCGATGCTTTGGCTCTAATCCAAACCAATCAAACTACTATTTGAATTGTCAAACAATTGGCAGGGCACATTTTGGCATCAATCTAAAATGGCCCGTTGTCGCTCCATTTGCCTAACCACCTTCCTCCTTCTGGTCCTCGTTGTGGTGGTAAATAGGAGTTCACGAGGTTGGAGAACATATCAGAGAGACGGAGATGCTTCTTGCAGTTGGTGGCTTGGACCTTGGGTCCCACATGTTTAGACGGTGGTGGTAGAACAAACACCACCACTAGGAACATTTTAAAGGAGTATAGATAATTGCTTTTTTAACATAATATGATATAGATTTTACCTCGATTTTCATTAGCACACTTTTCAAACTACTAAACGATATGTTCCGTGTGAAAACTTTCTATATAGAAGCTGCTTTAAAATATCATATGCTAATAGTTTTCTCATTTTATGTGCAAACTTAATCTTCATCTTCATCAGTTTCAAACACCACCAATAAGTTGCAATGTTCATTTTATATTATAAGTCATTTTAGTCTCGTCCTAAGTCAAATTTTTATAGAAAAAATATAGATGTTGCTAGGTTTTTTTTATGAACTTGTCAAACTTGGACAACCCCCCAAAAAAAAATTATAATATGAAATGGACATTTACCGGGCAAGATTATTAAAATCCACCGGGCCCTCAATTACATTCGTTAGTGTTTGTATTTTGTATATGTGCCTCTGTCTTAGTTACGGCGCTGGGCACCCTCTTCTGCTGTAAGCAACAAAAGTAAATTTCACAAAACTACAGATACTATGTCCAATTATTAAAAGCCAACTCTTGACGAGTTTCTGAACGGTTGCCAATGATTTGAATAGTCACTACTAGAAAAACAATCTTTTATCCTAGTCCCCAAAGCATAAATATCTCGATTAGATTAAAAACCGTTATTAAAGATGTTTTAGTACCGGTTCTAAAAGTCCAAGTCCCTAGAAACATCTTTAGTTCCGGTTGGTGTTACCAACAGATACTAAAGATGCCTCCAGGGTTAGTTCAAAAAGAAAGCATCTCTTTCCAAGTCATATGTGTGTAGTACGTGGGATGGTAACGCGCGTAAGGGCTGAGGTGAGAGATTTTGAGTTTGAATCTCGATTTACTGGTCTCGGTTGCTACAACCGGTAATAAAAGGGGTTGTTAACCGGTAGTAAAAATGAGTTCTCTTGTAGTGAGTTGAACGACCATGACAAGATTTATTGGTACTACCGATGAGTCTAGTAGGCCCAATCCTAAAATCAAAGGATCATGAACTTCCTAAAAAGTGTTAAGTGAATCAGAAAATGAGGCATGCCACTATTGTAAGTTATGTGAGAAAGAAGAACATATGAAAGTTAAGTTGCCATCGCCAAGTGCAACTGCACATCAAGAACTAATGCAAATGTAGAAAGTTCAATGCAACACGAGTTAAGGAAGAAAAAGGTGCACCTAGAATTCCATGTATGACTTGATGCTTGGGTTAGGCATTTTGACATAAAAAAGTGCATGGTGCTTAGACTACCAGTAGTTGTGGGTTGTGGCAACCACCATAGATCTCATTCGTTGGTAGAAGGGAAGAGGGTTCTCCACCATACATGGAGAACATCAACAATGGCAACAGGGGCGTGGATCCTAAGATTCTGGTGGAGAGGTGGGGAGATGCGGCGTGGGCAAGGGAAGGGGAACCAGGAAGGAGGGATCGATGTGGGGTGCGGAAAGGGGGAAGGGTAAGGGAGAGGGTTTGGAGCATTCGTTTAGGTGCATGCAAAGGGGAGAGGGTTCCATGCGAAGGTTGAGGGAGGTACGTGGGTTGATTTGAGCCGTTCGATTCAATGATTTTTGGATCGTTGGATTTGATGAATACGGTTTGTAGTAGTACAGTTGGTGAACTATATATAAATAAATAGGAAGGAAGGATAGAAGAATAGATAAATTAGTCACAATATACTCCCTTCATCCCACAAAACTGGTCGTTTTACTCCTTCGCGATTGTCCCATAAAGCTGGTCGTTTTATCATTTGGAGTAGAAAAGTGGGCACATCTAATATGAGGCTATCATGTACTACTATTAGTTGTTTTTGCTTCACAAGACTTTATGCCCGAGAAGTTGTAGGATGGTGGTGTAGTGCAGGAGAAGGGGGACAGTGAAATAGTTTTAGTACCTGCAACCGGTAATAATTTAGGGTATGTTGATAATTTTCCTCCAAAGCTAATTTAGCTGCACATTTCTAGGACTTCCAGAATTTTGGGACGAAGGGAATATCATTTAGGATGAAAGGATAGAAGAATAGATAGATTAGTCACAATATGTCATTTTGAACTTAGTTTACACACATTAGATAAGTTTGTGCACCATAATAAATAATTTACAAATTTGTACACTATAAACTACACCCATCTAATCCATAGCTGAAAGCCTCTGTTTGGATTTCTACTGTGAAATTCAAAACAAAAAAGTGTTAGAAAAATACTCCTACTGGGCTCGTACAGGCGCCCATCTTTTGTCCCCTCGCCCGCAATCCACCCACCTCTCGAGCTCACAAAAATCGCTCGCCCCCCTCCACCTCCACCTCGCTCCCGCCGCCTCCACCACCCATCTCCGCCCTCGTCCGCTCGCCGGCAAGCCGCTGCTGCTGCAGCTGCTTGCTCGTCTCGTCTCCCCATCCCTGGGCGGGGCGCGGTGGGAGGGGGGCGGGGGACTCGCCACCGCTCTCCGTTCCGTGGGTGTCTCTGCACTCTGCTTTGCTCCTCTTCTTCCCCCCCTCTGGTTCCACCCCCGCGCGGCGGAGCGCGGGGGAAGGGATCCACAGATGCTGTTCTGCTGCCCTGCTTCTCCTCCCCCTCCAATCCAAGCTTCTTCTCTCCCGCCGTTCCGGACGAACAGCTTGTCTCCGACCGTACGTGGCGGGAATGCCGCGCCACGACGCCCTCTCGCGCGGTCTTTCTCGGCCAAGAACCGGTCCCCGCGAGCGCGGAACCGCCACGCGGCAGCAGGTGATGGTGGTGGTTATGGGTCTCCGGAGCAAGAGGGGCGTGGGGAATCGTCCCTCCCGAACGCCGAGGCGCTCGCGTCCTCGCTGCGTGATTGCGGCGGCGCGGACGGCGTCCGGCGGGTGCACGCGGTTGCTGTCCGGTCGCTCGACAGCCTGGGGACGTTCGTCGCCAACAATTTGATCAGCGCGTATGCCAGGTTCGACGAGGTTTCGGATGCCAGGGAGGTGTTCGACGAAATGCCGGAGAGGAGTGTTGTGTCGTGGACGGCGATGATGAATGTGTATCTGAAACTAGGACACTACGGCGAGGTTGTGAGGCTCTTCTTTGATATGGTGGGAAGCGGAGTGCAAGGTAACAGCTTGACTTTTGTTTGCTTGCTGAAATCATGCGGCGAGCGTTGCGATGCTAAGCTAGGGCAGCAGGTCCACTGTTGTATTGTCAAAGGTGGGTGGAGCAATGTGATAGTGGACAGTGCTATTGCACACTTCTATGCTCAATGCGGTGATGTTGCTAGTGCTTCAGCCATATTTGATAAGATGGCCTATCGTGATGTCATCTCATGGACAACAATGATCACAGCTTATGTGCAGCATGGGCATGGGGGCCAAGCTCTTAGAATGTTTTCAGAAATGGTGTCAGAAGGATTTCGACCAAATGAGTTCACTGTGTGCAGTGTCCTCAAGGCTTGTGCAGAAGAGAAAGCTGTGAGATTTGGGAAGCAGCTGCATTGTGCTGTTTTGAAGAAAATGTACAAAAATGACATCCATATCGGCAGTGCCCTTGTCACCATGTATGCTAGATGCGGTGAAGTTTTTGATGCTCAGGCAGTGTTTGATATGATGCCACGAAGAAACACTATTACATGGACTTCTATGATCTCTGGCTATGCACAAAGTGGCCATGGAGAAAAGGCTATCTTGTTGTTCAGAAAGATGAAGATGCGCCGAGTATTTGTTAACAACCTCACCATTGTTGGTCTCCTAAGTGCCTGTGGCTCCTTACAGTCGCCTTATCTTGGAAAGGAATTGCATGCTCAGATAATAAAGAATTCTATGGAAGAAAATCTTCAAATTGGGAGTACACTTGTTTGGTTCTACTGTAAATGTGGAGAGTACACATATGCTGCAAGAATTCTTGAAGCGATGCCTGACCGTGATGCTATCTCATGGACTGCTCTGATTTCCGGCTACAATAATCTAGGTCATAATGTTGAAGCACTTAAATCATTAGATGATATGCTATGGGATGGTGTAAAACCAAATACATACACTTACTCCTCGGCTCTGAAAGCTTGTGCAAAATTGGAGGCTCTGCAATATGGAAGGAAGATCCATGGTTTTGTTAACAAGACTCAAGATTTCTCCAATGTGTTTGTGGGAAGCTCACTTATCGATATGTACATGAGGTGTGGAAAAGTCGACGAAGCCCGAAGTGTCTTTGATGCCATGCCAGAACATAACCTTGTGACATGGAAAGTGATTATTACAGGATTTGCTCAGAATGGCCTCTGTGAAGAGGCTTTGAAGTACATGTACCTAATGCAACAAGAAGGGCATGAGGTTGATGATTTTGTGCTCTCAACAGTTCTGACATCATGTGGAGATCTTCAATGGAAATCCATCTCCTTCTCTGACTCAGTTGCTGGTTCAGTTTCAGCTAGGCAGTAGATTAGTTCTCCCGTGGCAAAGAAGCTAGCACTTCTGTACAGTTACAGAGATTTGTTATTGTGCAAGATCAGAAGACATGTAGCACAAAAAGGTAACTCAAGGAGTGCATACGTGTATATGTACTTTTAAGAGTACCACTACCTTCACTAACCATTTGCCTTTTGGGTTCATTACAAACCATGCATATCTTCAGAAGAAAAATTGTGAAAACTTTAGAATGTTTTTTATGCCTGTTTTAATTCCCACTATGGTTATCTCTATCATTACAATTGCATTAACATATGATCTGCATAATAAGCATAATGCTTGCACGCATTAGCAGCTAAATCATTCTTCCATATCATCCACTTATCCACTTAGGCTGTGTTCGGAATCGGACGTTCCCAGCGTGCACAGTAAGTACGGAAAACGAAGCGGTTCATTAGCGTGTGATTAATTAAGTATTGGCTATTTTTTTTTCAAAAATGGATCAATATGATTTTTTAAGCAACTTTCATATAGAAACTTTTTTGCAAAAAACGCACCGTTTAGTAGTTTGAAAAGAGTGCGCGCGGAATACAATGGAGAGGGGTTGGGAACCTTGAGTTCCAAACACAGCCTTAGAGTTCATGCTGTGACTGCAAAAAATTAAAGTTCATTTGGTAATTGAATTCATTATAGCAAGTGTATGTTTTTTTTTCATGAAATTGATATATTTTAACTTAAATATGGGTTTTAACATCTTTATTTCATACATTCTCTATTTGTTTTTTTATTAATCTAAACCATCACAGTAATTCACATTCACTACAATATGAGGGCATCTTGTTCTTAAAGATCGTAACATGTTCTTATTTTATCTTGTTTCTCCACAATTTTCCTAGTTTATTTTCAACAGGGATTTGAAGTGCTGTCCTAAATTTAACAAACTGAAGACTCTGGTACTTAATGATTGGTGTGTGGCTTCTGACCTCAATGCACTAATTTATTTTCTGCAACACTCACCAGTTCTGGAGAAGCTTACACTACAGCTTTCCAAGGTACAAATTTTGTATATGGATAGCTGTCTGTTATCAAGTTATCGTCCACGATTTATTTAGTTAAATATCATTTTCTATAGACATGAAAAGATTCATTGCAAACAACTGGAAATTACAAGTATCTTAAGAAGGTTCCATTTGACCTTAAGAAGGTTGAAAGCAAATGTGATGAAGTTGATGAAAGAGTTTGTGAAGTTCTCAAGATCTTGAGTGCTTATGTAACACCGCTCCAAATTGATATGAGAGATATATGTGAGTTAAATATTTAATACCACTCCTTTCAATTTATCAAAATATCTATAAATTGTAACCATGCAGTGAGGAAAATATTTGGCTAATTAGAGGGAAGCAATTGTTCAGGACAGGTAGAAACTCTCCCCATATTTCATGAACAGAAAGTGAAAGCAATTGTCAAGCATCATCATACATAAGCATATAAAATGAGTTTCGTTTGAATTACAATGTACAATCAAATTATACATTCAGTAGTTTCGAGTTTTATAAAGTTATACATTCAGTAGTTTCGAGTTTTATAAAGTGATGGCATTATCAGGCGCTGTTCTCTCTAATTTCTGTTCTGGCAAACTGTAAGCAAACATCCTCAATCCTCATAGGCAAAATAACACCCTCTGTCTGACCTTTGATGGAACATGATGACTGTGAGTGCCATCAAAGGTTCGACAGAGGGTGAATCTATGTTTCTCCATGATTATTTAGTGAATATATGTTTCTCCATGGACAAATAGCACATCCTATACAATCCTTGCATATGCAGATAAGGTAAACTAAAGTGATTCCTATTAAATTTTGGAATTATGGCGGTTGAAAATATAAAAGGTGGAAATTTCCTGTATTCAGTCCTGGAAAGGGAAAATAAAAACGCATCACTAAATTTTTTTCAGTTTCCGGATTGATTGATATCTATCAAACTAGTGTCCCTGAAACTGGTTTACATTGGCACGCATCATGTATCATGTATGCACTAGAATACTAGATGTAGTTAGTCAGGAACTATCAAGCACATCTTGCAATTTCACTCATGCCTATTTTATCTGCTTCGTATAGTTGATAAGATTTGGGTTGTTAATTCATCTACTATTTGTTGATTATTCAGAAATAGAGCATCTCCCTGAGTTTCGCAAGATAACTTTAGTTTCATCTCAAGTATGTGTTGCTGAAGACATTTCATCTCTTATAAATCTTAATGTTGATTGGATATGCTGTTGATTGCACCATCACAAACTCACCTAACCAGAGCTGCATGAATTGCTCTAGGATCTCGTATCACTCGCATTTTCTGTCACACATGGCTAAATAATTACATGAATAATGATCAAGCCGACTATAAGCTGAGTTGCACCATCATCTGCAATTTCTCCTGTGCAGATTTCAACCATATATACTCCCCCCGTTTCACAATGTAAGTCATTCTAGCATTTCCTATATTCATATTGACGTTAATAAATCTAGACATATATATCTATATAGATTCATTAACATCATTATAAATATGGGAAATGCTATGATGACTTACATTGTGAAACGGAGGAAGTACAACTGAAGGCGGCCAAAAGGAAAAAAAAAACTAGCTGTATGTACTACTGTAAATTACAAACGAGCCTAGTCAATGCCATTTGCCAATATGCGCTTATAATCAGCATCACAAGCCAGTGACTTCATCCCTTGGAAGACTGTGCTACGTGTAAAGATCCAGAGGGTGGGGCAAAACTTGTATTGCCGATAAACCAGTAGAGAACCCACTTCAAGTTGCACAGCATGTATTTTAGTGCTTTTGTCCAATTGTCAAGTTTATTGAAACTTAAGAAGATTGTATAGCTCCCTACTTTGTCACCTTCAATCCTGCAAGCGAAGTTATTCAAGTAAAGAGCGGCACAAGCAACGTTGTGTATATAAGATATATCCAACTGTCAAAATACTAGTCATATGAACAAAAGAGAAACCATAACCGCATAACTTACTAACCTGTCTTAATTATTTTGTTTTATCACTAGTAAAACCTAAAGTATTTACATTGATTTCACTTAGGTGATGTTCAATGATGGCTAATTTGTGTCTTAGCATGAACCATGCAATTCATATACTAAGAGATCATAGTATAGGAAAGTTGCAATAAAACTTACTTATATGGGAGCTTCAATGACTTGTCAGGTGGTACATTGTTCTCTTTATCCAAACTAACAGCAAAATCAGCAAATTCTTGCAAGCAAGTCAGAAACCATGTCATGGCTTTGTCAAATCGGGTACTCCAGAATAAATTCACAGGACCGAACCTGAACATTAACAGTGCAGCCTATTAACTTGGTATAATGTAATTCCACTGTGCAAGATAAGAATAAATATACAAAGTAAACCCCCAGAGTGAATTTTCCAAAATTAGAACGGCCGCCAAATGATGATTTTATACCAGTCCCAAATAATTGCACCACTCAACATAACATGTGCTCAGTGAAAGCGAATTGACAACATGATTTATTTAAAAGTTTGTGGATGTGTTAACCAATGTAAAAGAAAATTATTACCACCAGGAAAGTGATCAGGTATGACAAAATAAGCATAAGTTGCCTATTTCATGAGGGACATCCTAGATTCCTTACTAGCAGCAGAATTTGTTCTTCAGAAAAAAATATAATATACATTATGAAAATAAGGAATATTACAGTACCAATATTTTACAAGTTTTTGAAAAGAGAATAACAAAGGGAGTACAATTTCCAGCAGGAAGCTTACAGTTCATATGTATTTTGGTTGATGTCTGTAACTTTTGGATAGCTTCCCATAGGGTGAATTTTGATCCGGTATCTAGATAAATGTTCAGGTAGCACAATTATCATTTCGTCAACAATTGTAGAGTATTAGGATTTGTCCTTTTCAATGTACATACACATTTTTAATGCTACTTATGAGAGAAGATCTGCTAAAAACACATCATGCAATCCAATAAAAGACTATAATATGCAATTATGCATTCACCCTAACCAATAACCATCCAACACTATCTTTCCAACTTGTTATAACATATAGACAAGCTCGATTCATATAGAATAAACATATTTTGAACACAGAGCCATACAGAAAGAACAAAGCAAACAACTACATGGAGTAACAACTAAAATGCACTGAAACATGTATGTCGTAATGTTGTATAACTAGTTGATGGAGGTAAATGCCATGTATGAATTACTTCTCAAGAGAATGACCAGCAAATAAACTGTAGCAAAAATAATGTCACTGTATAAAGGATACTCAAATTTTGGGAAGAAGTACTGAGCCATGGTATGCAACAGAAGAGCAGCCTGGCCCCAAGCAGCATTTATCTCATCCCACTCCACCTAAGAAAAGAGTAACACAGTTGTTACATTAACACAAAGGATCAACATGAACATTCCATGTACATCTTGAATAGAATTCAAGGAAAGCACTAAAAGATAGTGAATGGACGTGATATCTGCACATTTTGCATAATTACCTGTACATTAGGAAGGCGGCCAAGACGAAAGTTGTTTATTGTTCCGATCACCCCATCATGTGAAATATAGAATGCATCATTGAGAACATTTGTACGCTTTAACAATTCTAGATGAACCTGCGAAACTTCTATCTTGGCCAAAACCGCATCTCTTTCTTCCTGAAAGTGACAAAAAAATGAGTTATTGACAGGCAAATGCTTGCAAACAGCCCAGACATTATGAAGCTTATGTATAAGGAACCAATACATATTATAATATCTATGCTCCTATAATAGAAGGTAGTGGTGAACTGGTGATGGCAGTGAATCTGCCAACCCACTTAGTCCCATTGAAAATTTTATAAATTACTCCTTGAGCGTCTTCATGTTAAAAGACAACCAAATCTAAATGGATAGCCACATATAAAATCAAATTAAGGTGAATATTCCTTATAACAAAAGGATGGGCAACACATTTCATGTAAAATATATTTTTATTTATTTTAGGCAATACTATAGTATAACGTAGCAAGGCATGGGCATTCAGCTAGTTATTTTCTATTATGAAGGCAGCGCAAAACATGATAGTACAGACACAGAGCATTATTCACAAACAATGTTAATTTTTAAAGAGGTTTATTTATACCAACAAAAGTACAAAACATGGCAGCTATAGACTTAGTTTATATAGCTTTAGCTATTGAGTATATGACAAATCTGGAATATAGTGCATTTGGTTGTTTCTATGTTCTGCTAGAAAATAACAATGTTTTTAGGTTTTTGTGCTAACAAGAAGTCAAAACATGACATCAAGAAAATAGTGCTAAGTAAATATTTATAGGGCCTGTAGTAGGTATTTACCTGGTGAGATATCCACTGAAACTGAAAGCTATTGAGATCATGGCAATACCTGTTTCAAAAATATGATAAATCAGATTTGTTTAACAAGTAACTGTAGAACTTCACAAATAACATGAGCCAACCAAATATTTCAGATTGCACAAAACCACTAGCAATTGTTGTAGCGATATAACAAAACATGTGTGGGATGTATTATGTTATTATTCCCAAATAATGATACTCCTATTTTCTGATGTCGAATTGCCAATTATATTGAATAGCACACTGACACTCTGTTGAATAATGTCTAGTTTCAGGTGACAAATATAGGTACACATTAATGTTTTCAATATAACAGTTGTATTCATAGCCTATAACAATGTTACGACTCATCAGAAAAAAAAGAGAGACAGAGAAGAGTCGAGAGCCTCCTGCAAGTATGCACATGCACACCCAAAAGCAAATTATAAATCACTGAAGACTCTATATCACTGATTCTTGTAGAGAAACTTCAGAGTTAATAATAAGAACATTCAAGAAAGGACAAAATGAAAAGGTTAATTAAAATTTTAACCTTTCTTCCAGTTCTTCGAACTGTTTAGATTTTGTTTCAAGGCACTTCATCTCGGAACAAATTTCTGAATATTGCTTTTCAGCTTCCTCAATTGCAGCTTTAAGTTTCTTTTCTTCTTCCTCAATCTGAAATGGCAGAACACATAATACATTTAGTTCCATGAAAATCATGGCCACTGACCAGTCAGAGGTGCTTATTCTTTTTTTTTTCACATAAGAAAGGTCAAGTAGGCAACTTCTTCAGGAACTGTTGCACTTCAACATTTTTATAAGTGGGCAAGAATTCTCTTACAGAGAAGTTACAAGGGAATTATTTGTTCATTTAAAACATTGCTCACTACCTATGTGTTTCATCTATCAAAAGAAACTTCTGCCTTACTTATTTTTGTCCAAAGCAGCAGGCTGTCATGCACTTTAGGATCTCATTAATCACGATATGACCATAAATATGTAAGAAAGATTACCACCTTTTGTCTCTCCTTCTGAAAGTCAGTTTCACTGAGGATGTTATAGGTTTCCTGCTCCAGACGTTGAAGACAGGCCTCATAAGCTTTATTGTCAGTATTAACATCTTCAATTTCCTTCTCCATTTTATCAGACAGCAACCTCATACAGTCCAGACAGAGTGGCTGTTCAATCTACAAGTATATTCCAGATTATCAGCGGTCTTGACATTGTTCCTCTCAAAATACTAACAGATGGCAATGAACCCTCAACATATAGTAGCAAAAACATGCAAATCTGATGCAATAACTAGCAACTGCACAAGCTAATAAATGGGAAACAAAGGTAAAATGACAGAAATGGCAAAAGCACGTGTTCTCATTCAATACAGAGGCATCTTACAGAAGTCATTGTAGTACCTGTGTTTGTGATGTAGCAATCTCAAATGCCCGTTTTAATACAGTCACGCTAGAGTGAAAATTATTTCCTGGTAAAGGGCTACCGGGGTTCATACTTGTTGGTGACAACTGCGCACCACCTCCTTCAGAGGCAGATGTCTTGTATATGGAAGCGGCAGCAGGTGGAAGCACTATATATGATCCCTCCATTGCTCTTGTTGGTTGGTTCGGCTCGGCACGCGGGATCCCTGCGCTTGGCGGGCGTGGGGGAATTCCATGGCTATGTGATCTATTTTGCTTCGATAGCACGACATAAGAGTTGTCCATCCTGCTAGCACCCATAACGCTGCCCTGAACAGAGGACACGTTCATACCTGCATTGATAAAAAGCTCTTGTAACAAATAGTGCAGCAATTCCTAGCATTTTTCAACCAATCATGCCCCAATTTCCTGGCTCATGCGATGCTAATACCATACCAAAACCGAATAAATTTTCTACCTATCGATTCCGATTCGAGTCGATGGAATTACGACGAGCCAACAAAGGGAAAAGGGAGCTAATCGGTTGAGGAGGCAAGGGTTACCGGAGACGGCATGAGCGGGGAGCTTATCGGTGAAGGACTCGACGCCGACGACGACGAGCGCGCGTTGGCACTCCTGGCACTTGAACCGCGGCAGAGACGGGTCGACCCCGCCGCCCTTGTCGCCGGCAGCGGCGGCGGAGGATGCAGGGGGCTTCATATCGCCGCCCGACAGAGCAGGACGCGAGCGCTACCTGCATCCACGAATCCGGCATCATTCACCTCACCAGAAACAACGGATCAAACGAAAATCCCTCCAATCAAAACCCTATAGACAGCTCACGAGCTCCAGCACGCGGGCTCACCAATCCAACGCCGATCCGGAGAGCACGGCTCCAGCCTCCAGGGGCGGTGGAGTACCCCGCAGGAAAATCGCGGCTAGGCGGCGTCGCGGGGTGGGGGTTTGAGGCGTAGGAGATGAGATTCCGGCGGGGGCAGAGTCCGTGCGAGGAAGGCGACGGGGGGCTCACGTGCGCGGCGCGGAGAGACGGCGGTCGGAGCGGCGGAATCGCCGGGGAGGGAGGAGTCGCCTGCTCGGGAGTCGAGAGAGAGAGAGGTAGCGTGCGTGTGGGCGTACGTTTGCGTAGCGTGTAAACTGTAAAGTTTGTGTGGGTGGGCTCAGGCCTGTGGTTGTATGCGTGTGGGCTACGTGGGCCGCGCGGGGAAGAAGAGCCGATTGAGCTACTCCCTCCGTTTAAATATTGGAAAAAGTACACCGAAGGTCCCTCAACTTGTCATCGGGATAAAAAACGTCCTCGAACCGCAAAACCAGATACGTAAGGTCTCTTAACTATATAAAACCGGTCACCCGAGGTTCTTAGATGGTTTTGACCCCAGTTTTATCCTACGTGGCTGCTGAGTCAGCGTGGGACCCACATGTCAGGATGCCAACTCATCACATCTCTCTATTTCCCCTCCTCTCCCTTTCTCTCTCTCTCTCTCACTTTTCTCAGGCCGGGCGGCGGGTGCGGACTGCGGAGGAGGCTGGCGGGGCAGCCGGCGATGGGCGGACTGCGGAGGACGGAGGCGGTGCCTCGTTTTGGCAGGTCCTCCCCTTTTCTCTCCCTTCTTCCTCTCTCTCTCTCTCTCTTACTCGTTTTGGTGGGCCGGTCGGCGGGAGCGGAAGAGGTCTGGTGGCCGGTGACGAGCTACACGATGGCGGCAGCGACTTTGTGTGGCGGCGACAAGGATGGAGTTGACCTGCAGATAGAGCGCTGCCTTTCCCCACAACTCCCGCACCGAGCGCACGTGAAGAGGGAGGAGGCGGGAAGGCCAGCAGCGGCCTGTTCCTCGTCGTCGTCGTTCTGCGGCAACACCAGCTGCCGGACCTCTTCCTCTCCCCTCCCCCCAGCGGCGCGCGGCGGAGGAAGCCGCGGCGCCGTCCTCCTCCTCTCCCGTCTCACCCCATCGACGCCCGCGCCATCCCGCCGCCCGTCGATGCCCGCGCCTCCCCATTGACGATGGGGGCGAGGTTGACGGCGATGGGGGCGACGGAGGCGCCACTCTCCCCAGCGCCAACAAGTCCCCCTCATCCTCGTCCTCCGGGGCGCTCGACGGAGACGCGGCGGAGGCCGAGGCGCGCCGCCGGCTGACGAGCTCGCTGCGGGAGGCACTCGGGCTGTACCGGGACATCCTCCGGGTCACGTGGCTGTTCGAGTGGCCCGACGACCGTGGCGATTACGACGGCATCGTGACGGAGTACGACGTGGAGTGCGGTGTGCTGGTGTGGGAGCGCGACGAGCACGAGGGGCGGCGGGTGTGGGCGACGGCGCGGCATCGCCCCGTCCTCTTCGCGCTCACCCTGGCCACCGCCGCAGTCGCCCTACCCTTCTCCCCCAGGGCGCCGGCCGCCGTCGCGCCGCCGCCGCCCTCCTCTCTCCCGTCTCGCCTGCCGACGTCGCGCCGCCGCTTTGCCTCACCGAGAAACCGCCTAGAAAGAGAGAAGTGGAAAAGGAGGGAAGTGATGATGTGGCTTCCTAGCATGTGGGGCCCACGTGGGTCCCACGCTGACTCAGCAGCCACGTAGGACAAAACCGGGGTCAAAACCACCTAAGGACCTCGGGTGACCGGTTTTATATAGTTAAGGGACCTCGTGTATCTGGTTTTGCGGTTCGAGGACGTTTTTGTATCCCGATGACAAGTTGAGGGACCTTTGGTGTACTTTTTCCTTAAATATTATTTCCTCCGTTTTACATATATATGTCTAGATTCATTAACATCAATATGAATGTGGGAAATGCTAGAATGATTTACATTGTGAAACGGAGGGAGTACAAGACATTTTAATTTATGTCAAACTTAACTTCAATCATATCTCTATCTTTTTATCTCTACTATAAAAATTTAAAGATGTTTTCACAAAAATTTTGATATGTCATCCGTGTTTGAGTTGGTTTTTAGTTTGTTATATGTCACTCGTATTCAATTCAACATGAGTCTAGAATAACTATTGTACACTCATATCCCAACCCAACCCCTCCCCCTCCCAGCCCAAACCATCCCGTTGCCCCATCCTACGTGCCACCACTCGGTGCTATGCGCGTCCTTCCTCGATTGGTGTCTTTTTTTTCTTTTTAGTCTTCTTTTCTCCCGATAATTTTGATCCTCTCCTCCTTCCAATCTCCTCTCTTCTCTCCTCCTTTCTCTTTTTTTCCTCTTTTTTCTCTCCTCATAAATATTTTCCTTTTGAATTTATCATTGTTTAAGGTGTGCATGCGGCAAGCCCTATCCCGCGCCCCTCCACTCAGCATCGTGCATGCCCTTCCCCGACCGGCGTATTGTTTGTCTCCTTTTCTTTCTCCCGATAATCCTAATCCTCTCCCTCTCCTTCCAATCTCCTCTTTTCTCCTCCTTTTCTCTTTTTTCCTCATTTTTCTCTCCTCAAAAATATTTTCCTTTTGAATTCTCATTGTTTAATTTGTTACTTTGCAAATATTTTTCATCTACAGTGAAAAAACTTTACTAATTGAATAGTCAAAATTTCAACATTTGATCTATGAGGTTGTTGATGAAAAAATCAAACACACTGGCCTGGGAGATCTGCTTAGCTCCTGTGCAGGTCCAAATCTTGATGAGATACGAGCGTGCCAGTCAGTTTGATCCTGCAACTGACAAGATATGCAAATAGTAGATTAAAACAGTCGATCGGCTGACAAGCCGATGGAGTAGTTCCAGCCTATAGCCGATAATAGCCGATGCCGATACTAGCCGATAGCGATAGGGTTTAAGCAATCAGCTATATGTCCAATGTAGATAATGATATAAAGGCAATCGGCTGATGACGATGTAATGAAATAACAATATAATCCAGTATAAACCAATCGGCAAATAATGATATGATAAATAAACATCGATCCGAACGTTAAAGCATACATCGGCTGGAGGTCCGATGTCATGAAATCAACAAGATTAGATTAAACAATAAAACCTTTGTTTTCACAGGCTAAATCCAACTTATATATATATGCAATTCTTATGAGCCGATGCAACGTCCAGATAACTCATCGGCTGAAACCCCGATGAAACCCTTATTGGCAATCAAGAAGTAGGCTAGAGATTATGGTTCTAAGCATGACTTAGTAGATCAAACTTAACTGATGCAACACTAAGTATGAAAAGAAACATAATATCTAGACAATCAAGCCGATGACTGATTTTCAGGGTGGTAGATGCCTAGGCTAATCTAATCTAGCAAGGCGATTTAGCCGATACCAGCATAAACCCTAAAGCGAGAAGCAGCTGATAGAGCTAAATTGATATGCTAAGACTAGATTAACAGAGACATATGATAAATAGGTAGGCAAATATATTATCCATACCAGAGTAATCCAAGAGGTCGAATGTACTGATGCAGCCTTAAACGACGTCAGCGTAGACGATACAATTGGCTGGACCGGCGAAACATTGGACTTATCCCTTCGCCGGTGATCAAAAATGATGCAGCCTCGCGTCGGGTGCCAAGTTCCGCCAGAACGTAAAAACAAAAGTAGAAGTAAAAAGGTTGGCGATGCGCCGAATTGTATTGATCGTAGCGATTACACAGACCCCGGGTGTACATATTTATACCCATGGGTTGATAAAGTCCTTGTCGGACAAGAAAGAAACTTTCCTAAATATAAAAGGTAAAGATAAAGTCCTTATAAGACACTAAACACACTTTCCTAAAGATAAAAAGAAACTAACAAACTATTCCTAATTAATAGATAACTTGCCATGCCGCATTCTTTTTGAACTCGGTCTCTTCTGGATAAGCTTCCTTTAGTAGATCAATTTCCTTAACCGAATATAGCAAGAATCCGACAACTGACGACTTGACAACTCTCATCAGCTAATCTCAGGACTTCGAAGCCGATGCTGACTCTAAGCCGATGACTACTTCGGGCTTACCAAATTTCACTGTTAACAGAGGTATAGCAAAATACACAGGCGCCAACTTATGGAATAACCACCCAATCATTTTGTGAGGCTATAGAAAGGTGTACATAAACGATTCTTCGTGTGATGACATGACACATGAAGCGAGCACAACCAGGTTCAATCCTATATGTGATTTATGACTTTCTTTTTATAATGTTTTGTTTCAGTTTGTCATTTAAATTTGTAAAGTTTTTATCAATTATGAAAATTGTCTTCACCTGTTGCAACTCACATGTATTTTTGCTAGTTTATAGAAAAATATAACGACATCTACAAAAATAAATTATATTTATTAAATATAGCTTTATATATATATATATTTTTTGAAACCTAAGCTTTAAATATATTTTAATACTATATTTGTTTCATGTTAAAATTATTATTATTATTATTTTCTTTAAATCTGGTTAAAATTAAGGAAGTTTGACTTTGAAAGTTCCACTAGAGAGTAGAACCTCTTGTGTGCTGGCACATAGAGCGTGTTTGGCTAGGTGCACCGGGGATCATCCCGCGTGCAGCCAGCAACATATTTGGTTGTCTACATGGACATGTAAGCCAGGATTCGCTAGTGCAAAAAGGCCTCCAAGCCAAGCTGAGAGGAACCGTAGAAATCAGTCGTACCTCCTCATGTAGGCCCGACTCTCATGTGGGCACGGAGATGGGCAGGTACAGGCGATGCACAAAGAGTTGACACATCCAATCATCCCCTTCGCTCATTTGATAGCTGTCATCTTCGTCAATGCATATCTTCTTCAGCAACTCCAACCGCGCCTACAAGCTATGTCATCAGATCTAGCAGCCAAGAGCTCGATGCCACCATATATAGCCTTTAAAGAGCTCGAGCTCGCCCATCCAATTTAACTTTCTCGCACGGAGGATGTACATGAACACATGCACATGCCATTATGCACACATACCACACGAGTGTCCTTTTTTAAAAAAAAAACATACAAGAGATATATGCCTTTAAAATTAGATGATCACCTTTAAATATTGTATGATGATGATGATGATGATGGTTTAGGTAAAGAATGGACTTAGCATGCAATTTACGCTTTTGATTAATCATCGAGAGGTTAAAAATAATTGAAATTAAATTAATATCATGTAGCTTTATGTGATACAAGTAAGAGTAATTTATACTCCCTAAGTTTCATACTATAAGCCCGCTTTGACTTTTTTATAGTCAAATTTATTTAAGTTTGATCAAGTTTATAGAATAATAGAATAATATAGTAGCATTTCCAATCCAAATTAAACATATCATCCAAATGTATTCAATGTTAGATTTAATAAAATTAATTTGATGTTTTAGATGTTACTAAATTTTTATATAAACTTGATTAAACTTAAAAAGAAAAAAAGTCAAAACGACTTATAACGTGAAATAGAGGGAGTATTAGCCAATTCCAAAGATCAGAAACGTACAAAGTTTAAGATGGTGTAGCTTTGTGTGACAAAAAAAAGAAGAAAAAAATATGAATTACCCCTCCGAACTATCGCGGTCGTCCGAACTACCCCTGAATCATGAAACCGGACATTCTTCACCCCCAACTATGTAAACCGGACGAATTACCCCCATCGAATCAATTCAGAGCGGTTTGATCCAACGTGGCACACACGTGGCAATCCAGTCAGCGTTTTTTTAATAAAAAATTGTGGGACCCGCCTGCCATACTCTTCTCTTCTTCCTCTCTCTCTTCTCTCTCTCTCTCTCTTCTCTCTCACGGCTCGCGCTACGCGCACGGTGAGGACGGCGCGGGGACGGGCGGTCGGCGACGGCGGAGGCAGCGAGCGCGGGGAGGCGAGCGGCGGGGGTAGGGCAGTGGTGGAGGCAAGCGGCAGCGGGAGCTCGTGCTGCTCGCAGAGGAGGCGAGGTGGCGGCGGCGGAGGAGGCGAGCGGCGGCAGGGTGCGGCGGAGGAGGCAGCGGCAGCGGCGAGGCGAGGCGGCGGCCGACACCATGCGCGACAACCAGCCCCAGCCCGCAGCCGCACCTTCCTCCGCTTCGTCGCGGGCGCTGCCTTCTTTTTCAAATGGTGGTTCAAATCATCATCCAAACTCAAACCAAATTTGTTTACAAACAGCGACATTTCATCGCTCCTCCTACACGGCGTTCTTCCACTTGCCGACCACCACCATGAGCGCGCGGCGCGATGCCCCTTCCGGCAACCACGCCGCCTCCTGCAGCACCCTCGCCCAGCGACGCGCGGCGCTCCCCTTCTCCCCTGGATCCATGAGCTCCTTCACCGCCGCCGCGACCTCCTCTCGTGTCACCACCCCGTCGCCGTCGCCGGGCGTAGCGCAACCCCGACCACCTCCGTTAGGATGACCGCGTTCACCTTCTGCTCCACGTACAGTGGCACCACCATCGGCATGCCGGCGGCACGCTCTCCAGCGCCGAGTTCCACCCGTAGTGCGACACGAACGCCACCATCGCCGGGTGTGACAGCACGCGCACCTGCGGCGCCCATGACGCGACGGCGAGGCCCCGGCCCCTCGTCCTCTCCAAGAACCCATCGGGAAGGCACGCCAGTGGGTCGTCGTCGTTGCGGTGGTCCGTTCCGAAGTCGTAGGAGTAGGACTCGCCGTCGTGGCTCGGCATGCGCACGACCCAGAGGAACCTGTGGCCGCTCATCTCCAGCCCGGCGGCGAGCTCGCGGGTCTGCTCAACGGACAGGATGCCGCCGCTCCCGAAGGAGACGAACACCACCGACCCTGCCGGCTGGCGATCCAGCCACTCCAAGCACGCCGACTCACCGGCCTTGTCGGAGCTTGACCGGACGAACGGACCCACCGGGTAAACCGGCGGGAACGCGCCTTGCTTCGCCGCCTTCTTGAATTCTTCGACGATGGTGTGCTCCATCTCGGCGAAGCTGTTCACCAAGAATCCATCCGCTCGCCGGTATCGCCGTACCTCTTCGAGGATCTACCAAAACACGGGGTTGGACCTATCGAGGTATCCGTCCGGCATGTCGGCGACGCGGATCGTCATGTCCCCAGCGAGACGGAGGGGGTCCGGCAGGTCTAGCTTCGTCGCGGGCGCTGCCTCCGCCGCCGCACTCGCCTCCTCCGCCGCAAAGAGGGGATAGGCCGGTGGCGGTAGAGAGGGAAGAGGTGGCCGGCGAGCTCGGTCGAGCTCCGCCGCCTCGAGGGCCTCTCGACGGGAGGAGGGAGAGGGGGAGCGGGGAGGCGGCCGACGAAAGATGGGGGAGGGGAGAGGCGCGGCGGTCGGCGTCGCCACCGGTGGGTCTGCCGCAAAGGAGGCACGCCGATGTCGTGCTCAACCTCCTCTCCCTCTCTCCCGCCGCCGCTCTGCTCCACTCTACCGGCGGCCGCGCGCTTGCCCACTTGCTACGGTCGCTCACCACCGCCCGCTCCACTCCGCCTGCCACGCGCTTGCCCGTTGCCCCTCGCCGCGGGCACTTTGCTCCACTTCACCGGCCGTCGCCGCCGCTGCCTCCTCCGCCGCGCTCGCTGCCTCCGCCGTCGCCGACCGCCCGTCCCCGCACCGTCCTCGCCGTGCACGCAGCGCGAGCCGAGAGAGAGAGGAGAGAGGGGGGGAAGAAGAGAAGAGTATGGCAGGCGGGTCCCACAATTTTTTATTAAAGAAACGCTGACTGGATTGCCACGTGTGCGCCACGTTGGACAAAACCGCTCTGAATTGGTTCGAGGGGGTAATTCATCCGGTTTGCATAGTTAGGGGTAAAGAATGTCCGGTTTTGTGGTTCAGGGGTGTAATTCGGACGACTGCGATAGTTGGAGGGGTAATTCGTACTTTTTCAAAAAAAAAAGACAAGCTAGATTGGATTAATCATCTAAAGGCCACAAACAACTAACATTGGGTCTTCATGAGAGAAGGGATGGATGACAATAACTCTACTTGGTGGGGTTGACATTATCAAATTACTATATTATCAAATTACTATTGAGAGTATATAAACCATGACAGTTGGAATCGTAATAATTGGCTGTAGCTCGTTTGAGTAAAGGCTGGGATATTATATTCCATCTTTTAGATACTTAATTAAGCTTTGAGAATTTCTCAAAATCTAAGTAAGCAGTGACGTTTTTTCTCCTTTCCAATCCATGATTTTAATTCAGTGAGAATCGCTAAACTGAGGGCATGCGTTTGGCTCCTGGTTGACTTTATAATCCTAGCCAAATTTTAAAATTAGAATTAATTTATATAGTTTCCCCCCCTTTTTCAGTAGCCAAATTTAAAAATTAGAATCTACTCCCTCTATTCTATAATATAAGGCACAACCACTTTTCTTAGATGTTCTAAATATAAGGCATGCATACAAGCATATAATTAATTATGGCATCTTCTCTATTTAATTATTACTTTTTAAAATCCTCCACTCTCATGTTATCTAATCCTATTGGATGCATGCATTATATTTATTAGAATGATCCAAACTACAAGATGATAATAATTATTTCTTGGTATTTGGGTTAAGAGTGGTTGTGACTTATATTTTGGAATGGAGGGAGTAATTAGTTTTAGAACTAATTAGGATTTTTTTTCCCTGTTTTCAGTCCTATATGTACTGTGCATCTCCCGTTTAGGAAAAATGGGGGTTTCGATGGTCATGTAGGAAATCTCCGTTCAGGTGTTCAGAGTTCAGACGTTTGTTGACGGACAAGCGGACGTCGATCTGGGCCGTCAACAGCCAGATGGACGTCCAGAACTCCTCAAGGCCGTACCCTGTGACGTAGGCGGTGACTAAGCGGGACCTTAGCTTCCCCAACGCGTGCGGCACCGCCGTCCTGTAGCCCACCGTGCGGAACCAAACAAATCAATCCAGCATATAAGCTGTTATACAAAGCTTCCCAAACACAGCCAAGGCCACATCGAGCAGCGTCGTACAAACCAAAGCCCCTCTAGACTAACAAGTTAAAAATACAGTTTGTCAACGGTGCAAACAATGGCTTCACATCGATGAGACCAATTGGCATATGCTAATAATACATAGCAGAAATAAATTTAAACTTCAAATCCACAAGAAAAAAATTGCATCTCTCTTACGAGGAGTATATATATATATATATATATATATATATATATATATATATATATATATATATATATATAATTGTTGCATATACATGCATTAGAAAATGTACTCATCCGTGTGTGTATAAATATGGGCTGTGCAGGCGCCAGAGGAAGACGCCCAAGCTAATCAGCTAATTAACCCGATCACATCTAGCTAGCTAACTAAGAGTAATTAGGGGCTAATTAGTTTCAAAGTGAAGTGAGGCGATATGGAGGGAGAGAAGAAGAGCGTGGTGCTGATCAACTGCGCGGTGAGCATGTACGGCAACCGCGTCCGCATCGCGCTGGCGAGGAAGGGCGTGGCGTACGAGGAGAAGCCGGAGAACCTCGCCGCCAAGAGCGCCCTGCTCCTCTCCTCCAACCCCGTCCACGGCCAGGTCCCCGTCCTCCTCGTCGGCGGCAAGCCGGTGTGCGAGTCCCTCGTCATCCTCGAGTTCATCGACGAGGAGTTCGCCGGCGTCGGCGAGCCGCTGCTGCCCGCGGGGCCCTACGAGCGCGCCCAGGCCAGGTTCTGGGCGTCCTACATCGACGCCAAGCTGGCGCCGTGCGCCGGGAGGGTGTGGCGGTCGCCGGCGGGCGCCGCGGGCGCGGCGGCGGTGGAGGCGGCGAGGGGCGAGCTGGTGGCGGCGATGCGGACGCTGGAGGCGGAGCTCGGCGGGAGGAGGTACTTCGGCGGCGGCGGCGAGGCGCTGGGCTACGTGGACGTGGCGCTGGCGCCGTTCACGGCGTGGTTCGCGACGTACGAGCGGTTCGGCGGGTTCAGCGTGGCGGCGGAGTGCCCGGAGCTGGCGGCGTGGGCGGCGCGGTGCGTCCGGGAGAACGCGTGCGTGGCGGCGTCGCTGCCGGATCCCGAGTTCGTGTACCAGTTCGCATGCGGCATGAGGAAGCACTTCGGCCTCGACGGCTGAGATCAAAATGAGCTCGCCGGCGCCGCGATTGGCCGGCCGGTGCAAATAAGCGAAACCATCGCGCGTGCATGCATGCCTGCATGGGAAACTATCATTTCCCCGTTTTCGCGGCAAGGTCTTTGGCTATTTTTGTGTGCTTCGCTTGCGTGTGTACTCCCTCCGTCTCAAAAACTAATAAATGAATCGAATATCACATAGTATAACGAATCTGACTATAGATTTGTTATACATGTTCTAGTTAATCTTAGATTGGTTTTGTGGGACGGAGAGTACATGCGTGTGTTTTTTTTCGCAATAGCTTTTTATGTGCCTTTTAATTTGCTTGGCGATTCGACATTGACATATCGATGTGTGTGTTTCTTTTGTGGTGGTGTGTGGGCGTGGCGATCGACTGCAATTCCTGAGTTTTGTCCTAGGTGAAATGTTGTCTGCTTGCGTGGATGCTGTTTTTGGAGTTTAAAGTGCTCTGAATATGCTGTAATGTACTTCTGTATGTGTGCTGTATTCAGAGGTGGGGAAAAAATATCGTGCTATGTATGTCGTTGTTTTCCTTTCACAGAATAAAAGTGGAGTACACAAGTTGTTACGTTATTGCTACCGACTATTCATGCGTAGTACTCCCAATTATTGATAGCAAACAAAAGTACCAAACAACGGCCAAAGTATAGTATTGTTGCATTGTCAATATGTTACTGAATTCAGATCAGCTTGGCAGTTAGCACTTTTTTTTTTTTGGGTTGCTGGCATTGTAGCTGTAACCTGTAGGGGAAAAAAATTCTCTGGGGCAGGGCCGCAGCTCCCACACCATGAGGCCCCACTGTAGATGTTAGCCACGTGGATGAGCACGAATCTTGGAACAGTTTCATCTTCTTTCTCTTCTCCCCCCATCTCCCGTATTTCCGACCTCCTCCCGGGTCCCGGCGGCGTCCACGCAATCAGCAGTTCAGCACGGCAACATCATTAATCTTAAAAGATAGAAGTAAAATCTATTACTTGCATATTTCTTCACCGTGATGATCGATTTCCATTGCTAGCTGCTTTGCTGCTTCCCTCCCTTCCCATTTCTCTATTGCACGGAATCTCACTAGCCATGGCTAATCAAGGCAGGACTTTTCTCAACGTTCATATTTGATGTATGCATTTTTGAGGAAGGAGGCTAGGAGCAGCACAGAAGATGCATCCCAGGTCGCACGTCTCCAGGCCCGTAGATCGATCTGATCACGCACCGGCAGGGCGGTAGTCCGGAACCACAACGCGATCCTAAAATCCCAGCAACCCTAGTGTAGGTTAGTGGCGGCGATGCCTACAAATTCCTGTGACGAGATGGGAGGGGCAGAGAAAGGTGAGCGACCGACAGAAGCAACTCGGCGACCGTGGCGGAAAGTAGCATCGACGCCGCCGGGAGGAGGTCGGGAATACGGGAGATGGGGGGAGAAGAGAAAGAAGATGAAACTGTTCCAAGATTCGTGCTCATCCACGTGGCTAACATCTACAGTGGGGCCTCATGGGGTGGGAGCTGCGGCCCTGCCCCAGAGAATTTTTTTCCGCCTGTAGGTCCTTCGATTCGGAAGGTAGCAAATCAAATCACTGACGGGTGACGGCCTAAGTACTACTCTATTTGGCCCACACAAACAAGGCCCAAACAAGAGCACATACGGCCTGTTGGAAGTGGATTTTGATCCATTGAGGGAAGGAATAAGTTCACTTTGGGTCCCTCTATTTGTCGCCCAGTCCGATTTTCATCCCATGGTCGCAAAACCGGATACAACTCATCCCTCAACTTACGAAACCGTGCAGAAAAGGTCCCTCAGCAGTACTGTACCCGGTTTTTTTATGACGTGGCGCCTACGTGGCTCCCTTTGACTAGGTTCTCGTCCCATGTGGCATTGACGTGGCGCTTACGTGCAATTGGATCCCGGGAAAATAATAAAAAACCGTGGGAACCACATGTCAGCTGCACAAAAAATAATAGAAAAAAGGTGGGACCCATGTGGTCCCACATGTCAGCCTCCCTCCTCTATCTATCCCCCTCTCTCTGTCTCATCTACACGGCGAGGAGAAGGCGAGCGGCAACGGGCGGGGGGCGGACCAGAGGGGCGGCGGGTGGAAGCGGCGCGGCAGCAGGCGGTGGGCGGAGCGACGACGGGCGGCGAGAGGCGGGCGGCGTAGCGAGAGCGCTGCGTGGGAGGAGGCTTCCTCTTCTTCCTTCTCTCTCCTGGCATCTTTGGCAGTCGGCGATACGGCGGCAGCGACGGCCGGCGACTCGACGACGGCGGCAGGAGCGCTGGGTGGGGGGAGGGTGAGTCGGCAGGCCACGGGCGACGATGAGACAATGGCCGTCGCCGGCGGCGCAGCGCGCGACGAGGCGCCTTCCCGGGGCGGCCGACGGCGCGGGCGCATGTCCTGGGCATGCATCGGTGGCGGCAACGCGACCCCGGAAGAAGGGGAGCGCGGATCTGGCGGCGCTGCTGCTGCGGCGGCGGCAGGCGTCGGCTCCGAATCCGCAAGTTTCCCTTTCCTTCTCGCCGGCGGACATCCACCTCCGCTTACCGCCCAGGTCGTTCACGCTTCAATTTGCTGCCTCAACTGGATATGTTTAGCTTACATATCTGCCTCTTTCGTTATGGGCTGAAGTGATTAATTGATGGTTTTGCCCACGCTGACATGAGAATGGTCCTCTTTTGGTGCCTGACAAAATTTGATCTCTACCATTTGCAGCTCTGGAGTGGCTCACGAGCAGCCCAACCACCATGCGTTCCAACGCCAGCCATCAATCCTCGTCGCGCGCGGTAAGGCACGGGCGAAGGAGGACTAGGAGAAAAGAGGGAGAGGCGTGGGGGAGGTAGCTCACGAGGTTCCCGGTGCCGACGGTGCAGAACCCGTTGGAGCCATCGACGAGGACGAGCCCCACCTGCCCCCGTTCGCCGCCGCCGGTAGCCAGGACGAGGTCGGCCTCCGGCTGTAGGGGCACCGCCGCCCGGAGCACTCCCATCGCGTCGGCGGCGGCGGCGCTACTGGCGTCGGACCCCGTTGCGCGGCGCGCGCGTGGCTGGAGACTGGTCTTCGGGTTGACCTCGAGCTCTCGCCGTCGGTGTCTCGCTCGCTGCCCCGCCCCTCCCGTCGCCCGCTTCTGCCGGCCGCCGCTCGCCCCGCTCCATCGACCGGAAAGAGAGAAGGGATAGAGAGAAGAGGGGAGGGAGAGGATATAGAGTGGAGGGAGGAGCGAGGATGACATGTGGGGCCCACATGGGTCCCACTTTTTTATTATTATTTTGTGTGTGAAACTGACATGTGGGTCCTACGGGTTTTCTTATTTTTCAGGATCGAATTGCCACGTAAGCGCCACGTCAGATAAAGACCGAGTCAAATTAGCCACGTAGGCGCCACGTTAGTCAAAACCGCTATCAAAACCGCCGAGGGACCTTGTTTGCCCGGTTTTCGTAAGTTGGGGATGGGTCGTACCCGGTTTTATGGTGCAGGGACGAAAATCAGACTAGTCGACAAATAGAGGGACCTAAAGTGAACTTATTCCTTGAGGGAATATCCCCTCGTTATTTGCATGTCTCTCAAATGGTTATGAAAAAAATTTAAAACAATTTGAGAATATGTATTAATATGTGATATATCACTCCTCAAACATTCAAGTTCAAATTCAACATTCACATCTCTCAACGAAAAAAAAACAAATTTGACTGTGAATATACGTTAGCTAGCCGCGGTTTCACTATTAGAGAAATGATTTTCCTGGACTAGTACAGAAGATTTTCCTGGACGAAGCCGGTGTGGGCACGGCCGTCGGCATCGCGCGGCTCGGCGGCGGCCTTAGCAGCATGCGCGCGGCTGGCGGGAGCGGCGGGCTTGGCGGCGCGTGCGTGTGGCGGCGTGTGCACGCGGCGGCGTACGACTGCCCCCCGCCCGAATCTGGCGGCGGCGGCCGTGCCCCGCCCGGATCCGGCGGCGGTGGCGGCCTCGGCGGCATGCGCGCGGCGGCGATCGGGAGTGGCGGGCTCGGCGGCGCGTGCGCGCGGCGGCGGCCGTCCCCCGCATGGACGGCGGCGACGACGATGACCGTGAGGAGGGCGGCGGCGGCAGCTTTAGGGTTAGGGGTTTTTTTATTTTATTTTTTTCGGTTTTTTATTTTTGCGTGCGGGCGACATAACCACCCCGCACGCGAAAAATCAGATTTTCACGTGTGGGTGCGCTAACCGCACGCAAAAATAGTGATTTTTACAGACCCTTGGTTCCAGACAGTTGGAACCTCCGCACGCGAAATTCACATTTGACCGCACGGAAAAATCGTTTCTCTACTAGTGTTTAATTTGTTTTTTTAACGAGATGTAGAAGTTGAATTTAAACTTGCATATTTATGGAGTGTTATATCACATGTTAATACACATTTTCAAATTTCCAATTTTTTTCATAACCATTAGAGTGACATGCAAATAACGAGGGGATCTCCCCATGAGGGATCAAAATAGTTTCCCCTTCCCCTCATCATTTATATAGGGCATGTCTAGATCAATTTGTTGTGGCAAATTTTTTGGGCAAAAGTTTTGGCGGCAAAAGATTTGACATTGAAGTTTTGCTAGTTGGTGTTTAGATCCATGGTAAAGTTTTGCCATTTTACTAGTAAAGACTAATTTGCCTATATTAATTGCACATTTTACTAGTTTTGCCTTCCCCCTCTCCCATGGTGACATCCTCTTCCCCCTCCGGCTCGCCAGCCTCCCCTTCCCGTGCGGCGACCTCCTCTTCCCCCTTCGGCTTGCTAGTGATGTGACCATGACTACTATTGATACAATCGTCGCTCGCATCAAGATCAAGTTGATCAAGTGCTGGAATCTGATTCGGCCACCTGCGACATTGCAGAATTCAAATGGCCGCCAAATCTGTATACAAGCTTTGTTTCGGCCTGTGAGTACTCGATGGAAAGCTCTCGGAGTTCTCTTTCCAACGGATCCAGCCTCATCCCCGAATTCCGTATCGTTTGGCCACAATCACAGAAACAAGGTGTTACGTCACCTATAATGGGCATATGGGCTTGTAACTTCATTTGGGACCCCGGCCTAAATGGGGCCCATGTGAGGTGTGCCCCAACCAGGTGGAGCACGACCCTAGGCACCCCTAGGTAGTTCTCCCACCTCCATAAATAGCTAGATACCCCTTCAGGGTTTCTTGGGTTTTGTCAAATTAAAGTTTAGCAATTGCTACTTGCTTGCAGCGTGCGTGTCGGCTAGACCGTCCGTCTGCTTGTTGTTCGGAACCCCAACTTATCATTTGTATTTAATTCCTATCTGTAATTCAGATTGCTTTTATCTTGTTCTTGCTTGTTTCTTCGATTTGCTTGCAGGAATAAGGTTGATCTACACCGGCAAGATCAACAACACACGGAGAGGTGTGTCGATCGCGAAGGCGCAACACGTCTAGTACGGTTGTAGTCGGGTAGTCAACGTTTCTCCTAAATCGTAGTTATCATCAACTCACTAAAAGATCGGGCCAATAACAACCTTGAGTGTCTCGAGTGGGACTCAGGATTTATCAGCCGGCCTCCCCTTCCCCCTCCTCCACAGGAAGCTGTCGCCGCCGCTGCCGCATGCGGTGGAGAAGAGCGTCGCTTCCGCTGCTCGTGGTGGGGGAGGTCGCTGACGCCGCATGCAAGGAGAGAGGAAGAGAAAGAAGAAAGAAAGCAAGGATAGATGATCATATATCTTGCGCCGGGGAATGACGACCTCCACCGCGGCTCCTAGCTCCACCAGCCACGGCGTCAGCGGCTATGGCGGGCAAGCTGGCCGGAGGCGGAGGCTGTGTGAGTGGAGAGCGAGATGGGGAAATTTTGGGTAAAAGAGAGCGCCTGCAAGCAGAGAGCGGAGAGAGAGAGAGAGAGTGAGGGGTAAACCGCGTCCGCACGGGGCCCGAGCTATTTTTTGCCAAATTCGCTGGTATGGACTCCCAAATGCCAAATGCCAACTTGGCCAAATTTACATAGATCCAAAACGGTAAAAAAGTGCTAAAAAAAGACACAACTTTTGTTATTTTGAAGGATGTAAACATGCCCATAGTGCAGGTAGGTCAAAAAGGTGTTGCAGTACAACTCTAACAAAAAAAAATGATACTAACTCCGTTTCAGGTTATAAGATGTTTGACTTAGGCTATATTTATAATACCAAATTAATTTCATTAAATCAATAATTGAATATATTTTCATAATAAATTTGTCTTGGGTTGAAAATGTTATTATTTTTTTCTACAAACTTAGTCAAACTTGAAACAGTTTGACTTTGATCAAAGTCAAAACGTTTTATAACCTGAAACAGAGGTAGCAGCATATTTTGGTACTCTTAGAAAAGTGCTTTCGGTGGAGCACATGGACTGTTGGAGCTGGAATTAACCCTTGATCAGTTGTAGCCTTTGTAGTCGATGGTGCTCCAAGGACTTGTTTAGATGTGTCTTATTTTAAACCATATTAATTTTTTTTAAATTGGTAAACACGTGAATATATTTAGCTTGTTACCAAACATTAGTATAGAATTTCGGCAACAACAAATTTAGCATATTGTACCAAAATTTAGTAATGTTGCTAATTTATTAAAATTTTAGCAATATTAAATTTTAAAAGTATTTATTTTATCAGTAATATGAACAGGTCCCAAGCCTAGCCGAACAAATTGATGGCACCACATTTCAATTTCAGATGCTTTGTGTTTCTTCTGTACGATTGTCCGGAAAACATTGGTGCCACCGTACAGAGCGTCGCTGTGGGGGCACACGGACCAACCAAAGCAGATGGCTTCGGCTGCCACGAGGGCCCACGGCAACCGAACAGGCAGGCAGCGAGCGGGGGTCTGTTCGGAACCTGTGTTCCCAACTTTCCCTTTTCTTTTTCCGAGCGCACGCTTTTTAAACGGTTAAGTAGTGTATTTTTTTAAAAATTTTTTTATACTGTTTAAAAAATTATATTGATCTATTTTTTTAAAAAATAGCAAATACTTAATTAATCATGTGGTAATATAGACCGCACTTTTTTCCGTGCTAACTACTTGTGTTCAGAACACAATGTTCCGAATACAGTTATTAATACGTGATTAATTAAGTACCCATTAATACATGATTAATTAAGTACCATTAATACGTGATTAATTAAGTATCAATTTTTTTAAAAATAAAATAAAATAATTTTTTAAGTAACTTTGGTATAGAAAACTTTTTAGAAAATACACCGCTTATGAAGAGCGTGCGTGCGTACGTAAAAAGACTTCAAACGCAGCTCGCTCAGCGTCCCGTGATCCCGTTCGCGTCGTGTAAAAAGACTTTTAACTATTTGCCACTCTTACGAGCGGTGCTTAACAATTTGCTATTATAATCATATATCATAGATAAATATATGAGAGCTCACATGTTATAGATACGATGTGACAAATCGTTAATTGAGTGGCAAATAGTTAAATTTCCCCGCTGGGCGCGACGAGCAGGCGCCGCAAACGCGCAGCGACGTGTGGAAGGAGAACAAGTGGGCCCAGAAAGCCAGCAGCGAGAGGGAGAGCCCCAGCAAGTCAGTGAGTGGGCCCCACCACCGAGAGTAGGGTAAGAGTGAGAGTCCCACACGCACACGCCCACGCCCACGCCCACGCCCACGGCCCACGGCGCTCGCTGCTTCCGTGGCAAAAACGGCAGCTATCGCCCGACCCGAGGTTAGTTAGATAGGAGTAGAGTTAAACCCCATTTCATCCCATCCCATTCCGTTGCGAAATTTTTGCGAGCTCGCGACGCGAACCCCCTACGCCGCAGCCGCAGGCTTCCTCTTCATCTCCTCCTCCTCCAGACCTCCACGCGAGCGTGCCCCGGGGTGGAAGCGGAGGCGGCGGCGGCTCGAGCGCAATCTGGTGGCGTGGGGGCGCGTCACGATGGCGGCGGCGCTGGCGAGGCGTGGCGGTGGGGGGCTGGCGCGCGCCCTGGCGCGGGGGAGGGGGATGTGCTCGGCCACGGCGGCGGAGCGCGCCGCCGGGGCGGCGCTGACGTCCGAGGAGCTCATGCGGATGGAGCGCGAGCGCAGCGCGCACAAGTACGGTTTGCCCCTCGATCTCCCCCTCCCCTTTTCCTTCCTTCCTCGCTCTCTTGTGCTGCGATCTCTCTCACCGTGAGTGCCTGCCTGAATGCTCCCCCCTCCTCCACGGTTCAGTCCCCGACTCGCTGGTCCGGCGGATCGTACTCGGATCGCGTTTCAGACTGAGAATTCCGCGCTCGTGATCGATTTTTTTCTTGCTCAGGAATTCCCCCTTTCTTCGGTTAGTCCTCTGTTTATCTTGCATAGTGCCGTGGGAGAGGGAGATCGTATGATTACTTCCTCGAATTGGGGATGTAGAAGTAGTGTACAACTGATACTTGTACGCGTGGGAGAGGGAGACTGGGCTCAACTCACTCTCGAATGTTGTTTATATCAAGGACTAGGCCACTTCTGGATACTGACCGAGTGTTGTTTAATGTTTATCACTAAGTACCATGTCAGCGACATTGATGGTGACTCTGATATGTCCCAGGGAGTTAGTACTGCTGTTGCATTTGGTTGCGATAAAGACGTCTCTACTACTTGCCTTGTCTCATTGGCTGGAAATTCTGAGGTTCTAGTTAATAAGCATAGAGCAATTGAACCTCTGGTTTTATTTTTCACAAATTATGCAACAAGTTATATGAAGCTTATGCATATGTCTGGGACAAAAGGAACTTTCACCTGTCACTGCAAGCCTTTTATTTTGATATTCTAGTTGCTTCCTAACAGAGCTTGAACATTCACTTCCTGCAGCTACCATCCAATTCCGGTGGTGTTCTCCAAGGGAGAAGGTTCACATATATTGGATCCTGAAGGCAACAAATACATTGATTTCCTGTCTGCTTATTCTGCAGTCAATCAGGTGATTTTTTTTCCTGGTTTGTTACATCTTGTAATTGAATGTCTTTTGGTCAAAAAGCACATATTAGAAGGCAAACATGTTGGTATCCATTGTTTCAGCCAGCTTATATCATTTTTCATAATTGATGTAGTTTTTGCAATTGTTGTAGGGCCATTGCCATCCAAAAGTCCTGAGAGCGTTGAAAGAGCAGGCAGAAAGGCTCACACTGAGTTCTAGAGCTTTCTACAATGACAAATTCCCAATCTTTGCAGAATACCTGACAAGCATGTTTGGGTATGAAATGATGTTGCCGATGAATACTGGAGCTGAAGGAGTGGAAACAGCTATCAAATTGGTGAGGAAATGGGGTTATGAGAAGAAAAAGATACCAAAAAATGAGGTATGATTTCCCAAAAGCTACATGTTTCATTTCAACCTGGCAATATTTCTCTCCATCTGGCCCTTTGTGTTGCCATGAAGGTGCAGAAAAATCCGAGTAAGCTTTGACTAGATGATATCCATATTCCTTGCTTTGCATAATGCTGCTGCTCTTAATATTTTGCTCATTAGTTGGATATCGTTAAAGATATCATTATCTTTATGTAAATGGAAGCAGAATTAAATGAAATAGCAAAACAATTCACAAGAGTTGCCTACTGTTTTTCCTTACTCTTAACTGTTTGATTGCTGGTGTACAATATAACTATATAATATCTATGATAGTCCATATTTTGGCAAATGTATCACTTAACGGCTTTGAAATTAGAGATTCATTGGTACCTGTTTTTTGTGAAATGTTCGGTCGTCTGCAGGCTTTGATTGTCTCTTGCTGTGGATGTTTTCATGGTCGGACATTAGGTGTCATCTCTATGAGTTGTGATAATGATGCAACTCGTGGTTTTGGCCCATTGGTTCCTGGCCATCTTAAAGTTGATTTTGGAGACACTGATGGGTTGGAGAAAATCTTTAAAGGTTAGCTCATATGTTTATTTGTAGCAACCATATTCTACACTATTTTTGAGTATTTGCATGTTCATGAACGCTATTTGATTCAGATCATGGCGAGAGGATATGTGGTTTTTTGTTTGAACCAATCCAAGGAGAAGCTGGGGTATGTATTTTTTAAGTTACTCTGTATTTATTTTTCAAAAAGTTCTAGATCGAATTCTTGCTAGTTTTGTATTGTGTTGTATAGTGATATACTGATTCTGATATACTACTGTATAAAGTTATAAATCTCTAATACAATTTAAAAAAAAAATAGTTGACTGGAAGACTTTCCAAACCCTGCATGATAGTCAATTTCTTGACTTCACATCTAAGGGTATTACTAACAAATGGTATACATGGTTTGACACCTGTTCCAGCCTAATTTCCATGATATGTTTTTAAGCCATTTACAGATACTCAGGTAATTTGATTAATTCAATTTAGAAACATGGAACTAGAGATTGGTCCTAAAGCACTTTTCAAGTTAAGGTGGTAAACTAGAATGGGGCTATATTGATAACTAAAGCATGTGCTGTATACTCTAGCCATTGTGCTACTTGTATCCATATTTTTTGTTATTCTCATCAGCTTGTGATATCCTCGTGTTAAAAATTCCACAAACCTACTGCTCACAGGTAATAATCCCACCAGATGGCTATTTGAAAGCTGTCAGAGATTTGTGTTCAAGGCACAACATTCTGATGATTGCAGATGAGATCCAAACAGGCATAGCTAGAACTGGCAAAATGCTGGCATGCGATTGGGAAAACATACGACCTGATGTGGTGGTAAGTTTCTAGTTTCTGCTACACTGTTTAACCTCTTCTTACTGCACAACGACACTAGTATCTATCCGCTGGGAGTTTTTATTTGCTGGAGAATATTCAGCTACAATGTTGATCAAGTATCTCCACTGTTCAGATTCTAGGCAAGGCCCTTGGTGCTGGAGTAGTTCCTGTCAGTGCGGTTCTTGCAGATAAGGATATTATGCTGTGTATCAAACCAGGAGAACATGGAAGGTATGGGCCATTTTCAATCCTTCTCTTTTGGTTCACTCCAACAAGGAGTTAAATTGTGAACTAATTCAGTTCTTTAATCAAGCATTAATGTCTGTGCAATGCCCTAGTTTTTCTTTTCCAGTGTATAACATTTTTGCTACTTTTAGATAAGCAAGTTTTTTGCTTCCCCCCCCCTCTTTCTTGATCAGTCTTATGTTTGATCCCTGTCAGTACATTTGGTGGGAACCCATTGGCAAGTGCTGTGGCAGTTGCATCACTGAAAGTAGTTACAGATGAAGGTCTCGTTGAAAGGTACATTGTTTTGTTGCAAGAGAAATATTGTTATTTCCTATAACATCAGCTGTTTCATGATTCAGCTGTATGATTGTTTATGAGTATCTTTCTTCTAAACATTTACTGAACTACAGGGCTGCAAAGTTAGGACAAGAGTTCAGAGATCAGCTACAGAAGGTTCAACAGAGATTCCCGCAAATCATAAGGGAAGTACGTGGGAGGGGTTTGCTTAATGCAGTGGATCTAAGCAACGAAGCTTTATCCCCTGCTTCTGCTTACGACATCTGCATCAAGCTGAAGGAGAGAGGCGTTCTGGCAAAGCCCACACATGACACCATAATCAGATTAGCGCCTCCGCTGTCAATCAGGTATGTCCTTTGCTGTTATGTCTTTATGGTTGTGTTAGTATCATTTTTTTAGATAACGGGCAGCGCCCGGCCTCTGCATCATAAGGTGAATGCACACGGCCAAACAAAGTACAAATAGGTACATAGACCCCGGAGTTTTAACAAAATGATGGCACAGCCAACCTAAGGATTACATCCAAATAAGCAAGTTTCAAACACGCAAGAGAGGAAACCAAAGTCTACGCTTGTAATCTTCCTCTAAAATTCCATCCCTGCTTGGAAAAGAAATCCATCACATTGGCTTCTAGCAACATGCATCCTTTCTTCACCATGATTCCATCTTCTTCATTAAGCAACAAGGCCCATTGCCTCGCCCAGTGTGTTCCTCTGAATATTACCTGCATAAAAGAATTAATTTTGGTACCATGAAATACCTCATCATTTCGGCATAACCATAACGCCCAACATAGCGCCCCAATACACCCCAGAAAGTGACATCTTAGCTTAGGATGCAAACCATTAAGCCAACTACCGAAAAGATGCGCAACACTATTAGGCGGTGGAATACCAAAGGTAATATGTATAGCACTCCAAATATACCTTACAATACGACATTCAAGGAAAAGGTGATGTATGTTCTCGTTAGAGCTACAAAAACAACACTTAGTGCTACCTTTCCACTTTCTTTTCGCCATATTATCTTTTGTTAACATAACGCCCTTTTGCATGTACCACAAGAAAATCTTTATTTTCAGTGGAATTCTAAGTTTCCAAATCAAAGATTTCCTTGGTATAATATCTTGATACATAATCGCCTTGTACATAGAATTTACCGAAAAGGTTCCATCTCCTTTCAACCTCCACTTGAACGAGTCACTTTGTTCCGAGAGGTTAAAAGAACAGACTTTTGCCACTAATTGGTACCAATATCTTCGGTTATCCCCTATCAATGCCCTCCTGAACGACACATTTAAAGGCAGCGTGCTTAGCACCCCTGCTACACTTACATTCCTTCTCCTAACCAACGAATAAAGTGTGGGGAAAACTTTGTCGAAAGACGTATCCCCACACCAACAGTCCTCCCAAAACCTTACTTGTGTCCCATCATGAACTACCCAAGATCTGAAAGAAAGGAAGTCCCTCTTAACCTCCATGAGTCCTCCCCAAAAGTGTGAGTCTCCTGGACTCCTTTCTACCTGGGTTATAGTCTTATTTGACAAGTATTTCCTTCTAAGCAAGGTTTGCCACACCCCTTCCTCGTTTATCAATTGGAACAACCATTTGCTTAGCAAACATCTATTCTGTGTTTCCAAGTTTTGGATTCCGAGGCCACCACACTCCTTAGGGCTACATAAAACACTCCATTTGGCCAACCTATACTTCTTCTTATTCTCATCACACTGCCAAAAGAACCTGGACCTATAATAGTCTAGCTTCTTAAGTATACCCTTAGGTATCTCAAAAAAAGAGAGCATGAACATGGCCAAACTACTCAAAACCGAATTAATCAAGACCAACCTCCCTCCTACCGACAAGTGTTTCCCTTTCCAGCTACTTAGTTTTTTCTGGAATCTATCCTCAATAGCCTGCCAATCCTTGTTTGAGATTCTCTTATGATGCATTGGGATACCTAGATATTTAAATGGATACTTTCCCATATCACACCCAAAATTCTTTACGTAATCCATCATCACTTCATTTGCCTTACCAAAACAAAAAAGCTCACTTTTATGAAAGTTGATCTTAAGCCCAGATAATTTCTCAAAGGTGCTTAGCACTAACTTGAGATTCCTGGCCTCCTCTAGATCATGCTCCATAAAGAGGATAGTATCATCTGCGTACTGCAGAATTGAGAGCCCATCGTCTACAAGATATGGAACGAGTCCACGAATTTTCTTTTGCTCATTCGCCCTGTGCATTAGCAATGCTAACATATCAGCCACTAGGTTAAAGAGTATTGGAGACAACGGATCCCCTTGTCTAAGCCCTTCTTTTGTTTGAAAAAAGTTTTCCATATCCTCGTTCACCTTCACAGCTACACTCCCTCCTCTCACAATCATATCAATCCATTCACACCACTTTGGAGAGAAGCCTTTCATCTTCAAAGTTTGTTGCAGAAACCTCCAATCAACTTTATCATACGCCTTCTCAAAATCTAGTTTCAAGATAACTCCGTCTCTTCTTTTCCTATGGATCTCATGAATTGTTTCATGTAAAATTACTACCCCTTCCATAATGTTTCTCCCTGGCAAGAAGGCTGTCTGTGATGGTCTAATAACCTTTTGAGCTACTAGAGCTACTCTATTGGCTATGACCTTAGTAAAAATCTTAAAACTCACATTCAAAAGACAAATTGGTCTATATTGTTGAATCTTTCTTGCTTCCTCTTGCTTCGGTAACAGAGTGATGATGCCAAAGTTTAGGCTATGAAGGGGTAACTTCATATCATGAAAGTCATGAAACATAGCCATGAGATCATCCTTAATTACATGCCAGAACACTTGATAGAACTCTGCCGGAAAACCATCTGGTCCCGGCGCCTTATTATGTCCATTTGAAAGATGGCCTCTTTTACTTCGTCATCTGAAAAACTTTTTGTTAACACTTCATTTTCTTCTTCCGAAACCTGAGGAATGTCCTCTCTTTGCGATTCCATCAAGGAAAAGTTATTTCCCACTGGAGCCCCAAACAGGTCTTTATAAAATTTGGTGATATACTTCTTAATTTGTACATCCCCTCTGATTACTCCTTCCTCCTGTTCCAGCTGAAAAATCCTAGTCTTCCTATGCTTTCCATTTGCTATCAAATGGTAGTATTTCGTGTTTCGATCCCCTTCTAAGATTCGCTTTGTTTTTGCCCTTTGAAGCCACTTAATTTCCTCTTCCCTCAGCAAAAAAGATAGCCTCTGTTTCACATAATTTTTTAGGTCCAACTCCTGTCTAGACAGTAATTGAGACTCCGCCTTCTTATCTAGCTCTTCCACTTTCGCGATTAGAATAGCCTTTTCCTTTTTATAAGCTCCATTAATGTTCTTAGCCCATCCTCTCAAAAACTGTCTCAACCTCCTAATCTTATTTTGCCATTTCTCTAACTTGGTCGACCCTCTACTTTCCTTTCTCCAAACCTCTGTGACCAATTCTAGAAAACCTTCTCTTAACAACCACCCTAGCTCAAACTTAAAAAGCGGTTGTTTATTTCCTTGAGTCCCCGATCCAGTATCCAACAAAAGTGGCGTGTGATCAGAGAACTCTCTATTCAGTGCTCTAACAGTAGCAAGTGGAAATCTTAGTTCCCATTCTGTACTGGTAAGCACCCTATCTAATTTTTCAAATGTTGGATTTTGCATAGAGCTTGCCCAAGTGAACTTGCGACCAGATAGTTCTAACTCTCTCAAGTTAACACTGTCAATGACCACATTAAATAAAAATGGCCACTTGTCATTGTACCTATCATTATTTTTCTCACTAGGATTTCTAATGATATTGAAATCCCCTCCCACCAACAATGGACACGGTTCTTTATTACATGCATTCACCAACTCCACTAAGAAGTCCTCTTTGAATTCCTCCTGAGCAGCTCCATAGACTGCCACAAGAATCCACTGAAAGCCATCCTCCTTATTTCTCACATGAAACTTGACATAAAACTCTCCCTCATCAATTGAAGCCACCTCCATAACCTCTAAGTTAATTCCTAAGAGAATCCCATCAGACCTACCTCTCGGTATGTTCAATAAAGTTTTGTTTTGTTTTTTTTGTTTTGTTTTTTTTGCGGTAATGGCTAAAAATCCTCTTAATTTCAGTCCTGAGGAGCTTGCAGAAGCATCGAAGGCGTTCAGCGATGTGCTTGAGCATGACCTGCCACAGCTGCAGAAGCAGATCAAGAAGACAGAATCCGCGGCAGAAAAACAATCCTGTGACAGATGCGGCAGAGACTTGTACTGATGAGTGATAGACGAGACAATGAAACGTTTCCAGAGGCACCCGTTTCGCCCAAATAAAATAGCAGAACACACCTCGCGAATTCATAGCTCATTGTAGTAGTAGAGTAGGATATATACACCTCCTTGTTGCGATGTCTGGGACATATGGTCCAGGGATTTGTCGCCTAATCGAGCTGGTTGCAAACAAATGGGGTAGCATTATTCTAGTCTATCATATCATGCAGAAGAATCTTGAATTGGATGAAATCGGTCGATTTTATCTACATCTTCGTTATTTGCATTATATATATATATATATATATATATATATATATATATATATATATATATTCCTTTTTCATTTTGGCATCTGTTTGCACATAGTAGTTGTTTCTGTTAGTGAGATCCACCGCCGCGCAAAGCTGCGGTGACGAAGATCCCGGCGACGAACGCTAGCTGTACTGGACCTGCAAAACAAGATGAGCCGGCCGGTGCCGGAATAGCATCAACATCCGCGACCAGCTGCTGCGGAGCACGCCGCATCGGTGTGTAAGATGCGAATATTAGGGAATGATCTAATATCAAATGATTAGGAGAAGTGAGGTTTTAGAATCCAGGTTATCTAGTCCATCATCTTGCGCAGCTAGCTGGAAAACCTAAGGGCGTTTCTCGAAGGGCTAATTTGCAATGGCATGGATCAAATTAACCCTTTCTCAAACCGCGTCGGTGTGCCTCCAGTTGGCCATCATCGTCGACGACACCACACACCGGCGTCGCGTCGTTCACCGGCCGGGCGTTCGCCTGGCCACGACCACGAATCCACGATGCTTCGGCTGCGTGACTTGCATGTGGGCATATAGCTAGCAAGTTTAGTTATTGAAACATACTTGATCCCTCCGGGCATTAATAGGAGTACGATGCAATTGACACTGCTGGCTTCGGGCATTCTCGTTGGAGTTATGTTCTGAAGAAAGCATATGTTTCGATCAAGCCAATCAGGCAAAACAGTGCGAATTGTTGATGCGGAAATGCTACTGAGCGAGATCGCCCTCGCTCGCCCAGGGCGATCGATTCCCCCCCTCCTCCCCCTCCCTGCCTCCACCTAGTTCCCTTTTTTTGGCACCGTATTACTTTTCTATTTTAGTAAATTTATGCACCTAAAGTTTATAAACCTCAACTTTATACATCTAAAGTTTAGAGACTAAAAGTTTATAAGTGAAAAGTTTATATTTCCGATTCAAATTTGAATTTGAATTTAAATATTTTTTATATATAGTATTTCTATACATCTAAAGTTTATACACCTAAAGTTTATAGACCTAAAGTTTATATATCCGATTCAAATTTGAATTTGAATTCAAATATTTTTCATATATAGTATTTCTATACATTTAAAGTTGATACACCTAAAGTTTATAGACCTAAAGTTTATATACCCGATTCAAATTTGAATTTGAATTATATCCGATTTAAATTTGAATTTGAATTCAAATATTTTATATATATAGTATTTCTATACATCTAAAGTTTATAGATCCAAAGTTTATAAGTCAAAAGTTTACATACCTGATTCAAATTTGAATTTGAATTCAAATTTTTTATACATAAATTTTTCTAACTTTTTGTTTTTTTTAAATTTTTTTTGTGGTGTATTGTAATAGAAAGAGAAGAAGAAGAGGAGGAAGGGGAGAAGTGGGAGGAGTGCCTATAGGGGGAGCAGGGGGCCGGATCCGATCGCCCATTAGGCCCCCCTTGTTGATGTGCCAAACTGCCAATGTTGCATACGAGGAAAGGTGTCCTTTTGCAAGGTATTTGGTTGATTTCGTTTTACCACTACTTCCTATCCTATTTGGTAAAATCTAATTCGCGCGCGCTCTCTATTTTGCCTTATCACGCAACACGCTCATCGGCCGTCCGATCCCACAAGCGCTGGTGCGTCCGTACATGGCCAGGTGATTCACGGATGTGGCATTATCCACATGAATCCAAATTGGAAGCCATGTGATGCTCTACACTACGCCGGCTTCAAAAATATTTTTCTCTTAAACTAATCATCCGATCTACGATCCGATTACACCGTTGTGTTCGTAAGAATTAAATCTTTATAACAAGATCTCACATGATTATATTTTGATGAAAAATTAGAAATTACTTTTATAATATATCTAAATTACTTTTAGATTTCACTAAATTACTTCTTAGACCCATAAAAGTAAATTCAATAAAGCCTGAAAGTAATTTACATATATTATAGAAGTAACTTGGAAAAAAAGAAAGTAACTTTATCACGATATTAAAAGTAAATCCGCTATGGAGGTAAAAACATGAGTCTATATTGAAATTAAATTTAATCAGCATAAATTACATCATTGACTAAAAATGATTATAAAATAAACAACTCACAACATGAATGTATAGATTTCTTTTAATGCCGTAACAAGTTACTTCACTTTTGTTTTAAGTTACTTCTATAATATAGGTAAATTACTTTCAGGCTTTATTAAATTACTTTTATGACTAAAAAGTAATTTAGTGAAATCTAAAAGTAATTTAGATATATTATAAAAGTAATTTCTATTTTTTCATAAAAATATAGTCATGTGAGATCTTGTTATAAAGATTTAATTGTTATGAACACAATGGTGTAATCGGATCATAAATCGGATGAATAATCTAAGAGAAAATTCCATAAGAAGAAAAAATACATGCACTTTTGAGTATACTAGTAGCAACTAGATATGAGATTGAGGTAGCTGGTTATGACCATACAGAGAACGGTCTTGTTGCAGACACGTCCTTCCTATTTGTTTCCAAATTCTTTGTTTCAAAGATTATTTTTCCGATTTACATGAATACGTGCATATACTTAGGTACTCCGTATTTGGTTGGATCCAAAGGGGAAGCAGTTTGCCAAATTTTACGGAGCAAACTCAAATTCCTTTTGGCTAATGCAAACCAAGTTAAAATACAAGTCACTTGGAGGAAAACCACTTCCCGCCCACTGCACCGTCGCCGAGGTTGCATAAAAGAAAGCACAACAAAGAGGAAGAAGAGGAGAAGCCGAGCAAGAAATCCAGCCAAGAAAGAGAGAGAGAGAAATCGCACCCAAAATCTCCCCCAACTCTCTACGCAATTCCACTCTCCAAAACCACCCATCAACAAAACCAAATCCAAGAATCGATCCAGCGATCGATGGAGTCGTCGTCGTCGGTCATCTTCCTGGGCACCGGCTGCTCCGGCGCGCTCCCCGACGCCCGGTGCCTCATCCACCCGTCCACGCCGCCGTGCCCCGTCTGCTCCCACTCCCTCTCCCTCCCGCCGGAGCGAAACCCCAATTACAGGTGCGCTCTTTGCTCGCCGCCGCTGCAGTCCAGTCAAGCTGCCCGATCTTTGCATGATTTCGATCCTTTCTTTCTTTTTTTCTCTCGTTCCGTCAGACGATGCCGTTACAGAAGAATTGCTCGTTTGCAAATAGTGAAATTTCTCCTGAATTGGCCGACAATTTCTCGTTAAATGTTGTATTAGAATTCAGAGCATTCTTTCAGTGCTGTTCAAGTGTTCAGTAGTTCGTGCTGCAATGACCTCCTCTCTGAACTCTGAAGTATTATTTACCATTGTTATGCAGTGCTACAGTGTGTTGTTTATCTACGGGAAAATTTTTACCAATCCAGTAATGCTGTTGGTATGACTTGAAATATGATTCCAAAGTAGTTACTGCATCAAAAACCACAATAGAAATTTGCATTATGAAGTTATCATCTCGATGTCTAAACAATGCCTTCATACAGCAACACTCTTGTCTGCTTTTAGGTGTAACACCTCCCTCTTGATAGATTACTGCCAACATGATGGAATCCATAAGTACATTCTAATCGATGTCGGCAAGACATTTAGAGAACAAGTTCTTCGGTGGTTTTCTCACCACAAGATTCCTTATGTTGATTCGGTGAGATCTTACTTACTGCACTGTCCATTTTCAATCTATTACAAATGATGATGATCAATTCATATAGATGGCATGACTGATAAGGTTCAGTGCATTGCAGATTATTCTCACTCATGAACACGCGGATGCTGTCTTAGGTCTTGATGATGTTTGGGTGGTACAACCAAGTGGTTGTAGAAATGGCTTGGGCAAAGTTCCTATTTTTCTCACCCATTTCACAATGAACAGGTCATTCTAGAACTCAAAATGGACTAATACCTGATATCATATTAGCCATCATTACCATGTATGATATGGTGACATCACCTACGAATTTTACAGTGTTGCAGCAAGATTCCCCTATTTATTGAAAAATAAGCTGGAGGAAGGTGATGAAGGTTCCCAAGTCATTCAACTCGACTGGACGATAATTGAGGGTGACATCGACAAACCATTTGTATCATCAGGATTAGAGTTTGTGCCCCTGCCAGTGAGAACCACTTGTTGTGAATTTGAAGTGATGCTTTGGTTTCTCTGTGTTTGTTCGTTGAAGTTGCTAACATGCTATTATCTTTTCAGGTCATGCATGGAGAGGATTATGTTTGTTTAGGATTCCTATTTGGAAGGAGATCCAGAATTGCATATTTATCTGATGTCTCAAGAATTCTACCTAGAACTGAGCATGGTATGATTTTTACTGTCCTCCATCGTTCTTCAAATATTAGAATGCTTGCCTTTTGTTTTTTTAGTGCAAACAATAGAAAAGGATCCAACTGTGTATATGTTTTTGTTCTCTTGCTAAACCTGTATCTCAAATTTTTTTTTCTTTGTGAAATATTGAAAATGGCATAAACTTAATACTAGGAATTTCAGCTCATCAAAATCTACAATTTTCTCAAGACCGGAGTTGGAGCATCTATCATCATGCCAATGATTAAATAGCACTACCATGGCTGAAATCATGCTTAATCCGTAGACATATATGTTTTGGGTTCTTTTGAATGCCTTTTGGTTGTTCTGGTTTTATTGGAAGACATTGCTGATGCACTCTTCCCCCGCAGCAATTTCGAAGTCTGGTGCCGGACAACTTGATCTTCTTATACTAGAAACGAACGAGTTGCACGGGGAGGTAAGCCTGTGCCATATGCTTGTCGTCTGAAACAGCGTCTTTGCTATTCTTTCACGCAAAACATACTGATAATCTGACACAGACTTCGCCCTCTGTGAACAGGGAGATGCTGGCAGTTGCCACCTTACTCTGAGTCAGGTTACTCTTATCACACGTTTTAGGCACCTTATGATTTTTTTAACATTAATTAGTTTGGTAAAATTTAATGGTTTAAACTCCATGTACTTTCCATCAAAACCAGCCTAGAACTGGATACCATCAGACAAAGCAATATTGACCTAGTATGACCTTACTATTCAACCATTCCTTTCAAGCTGGTTCATCCCAATGTTTTCTTTTCCTGATGGCATACAAAAATTTTCAGACTCTTAATGCTGTCAAGAGAATAAGTCCTAAGAGAGCTCTGTTGATTGGAATGAACCATGAATTCGAACATCACAAAGAAAATCAGACGCTGGCAGAATGGTCTAGCAGGTAAGCATAGTTGGTGAAATATTTATGCTCTTCACTTATTTTGTGAAAGAGATGTTCAACTTGTAAAATTATGTGATCACAGAGAAGGAATACCAGTACAACTAGCTCACGATGGCCTGCGTGTGTTTATTGACCTGTAATGAGGTGGATCTTAGGCTTATATATAGCACACAACACAACTTTCAGAGCATGTTTTTCAGGTATGCTCTAATAATTACAGTGAAATCATTGTAGAACATTTCAGGATTATACCCTTTGCTTGTTTCAAAAGGAAAAGAAAGTTTCACTTGTGTAAGAATTTGGTGATTACTTGGTGCTATTTGTTCATATCTGCACCTGGATGTATTACCTCTGTTAATACTGTTTTACCAAAATAATGAACTACTCAAAGAGTAATCTTGGTTTATTGGGATTATGAGGCCCTTTGTCATCATATATTTTCACTCGTCTACTCGGCTGCCAACTTGTCTCAATATATATATATATATATATATATATATATATATATATATATATATATATATATATATATATATATATGCATATGCACGTCCCTTGTGCATGGTTAGCAATGTGGTGACTTCGTCAATCTTTCTAGGATTTGCCGGCCCAGTCTTCGAAAATGTTCATAGGGGTACGGTTTGCGTGCGTCTGTTCATAGGGGTGAGTGCGCGTGTGTTGTGACTTGTGAATGTCTGCGTTGTACCGTGTAATTCTAAAAATAAAAATAAATTATGAAATTATAATGTACAAATAAAAAAAATATAGTGTTGCATTCACCTAGACTTTGGATCTGGTAGTAAATGAGAATGATTCAAACTGCGATAAGAATACAGAATGATGAATGCAAAGGGTTGGTACTGCCACCGAATGAGAAGAATCCTTTATTTTTATTGTTTTGATTAGAAACTCTACTATTTCGTTCATGCGGACTTTGTGTGTCAACTTCTAATGACGGAACTGATTGAATACTTAAAATATATTATCACCCAAGGCCACTGAAGGAAGCTATAGAGTTTCACCCGATTTGCATTTTTCATAACAGAAGGAAATTGGGAATCTCGCACTATTATATAATCATATACTACATATATTATTTTTCTTCAAGCATATATTTTGTATCGATGAGGTTATTCTGAAAGGAGCAAAATTATAATCCCGTAGTCTGGAAACTTGAAGCAGAGGATGTATTGTGAAAATCGTATAAACAACCCAACATTATGCAATATACAGATCATTAAGGATTAAGTAATGGAACTATTCAGGCCGGATTTATCCATTATCTAACAAGTAAAAAGTAAAAGAAACTATTCATTCCTTTCTCCCAGAACATTGTTACGATGATGTCAATATATGTGCGTGATATTTTTCAAGTAAAAAAAATGTATCTCCAAGAACATTACATAATTATTAAGTAAAAGATGTTCTCTTAGGTCCTTGAGAAGGTACAACAGTATATTATAATATTATCTAGTATAATTTGTGATATTTTTTACCTAAACACCAAGAAGGTTTCACAAATATGAAAAATTTAACACTAGAAAATGAAAATGAAGTGCCTTACATTTCTCCTCAAAAGCCTTATAAAAGCTAATTAACTTTTACCCGTCAGTTGTTGTCCAGACTGAGTCAACGTAAATCTTCTTTATTATGAACCAAGTCAAAAACGCAAAATATTTAGGAGATACAAAATGATACAGGCAACAAAGTTGCCTCATTCTAGTTATGCATTCGCTTGGCAATTAAACTACTTCATCAACCAATAAACGTGCACATCCTTTTCACACTGAGCTCACTTCAGGTGAACACATGGATATAGCTCTTCTTTTTTTTTTCTTTTTTTTTTTGCGGGGGATATAGCTAAACAGTTGAAGAACGCCTTCAGTCAGGAAGAAATCCATAACAGCATATATACTTCAAACCGTTTCTTTTTTTTCCTTAATTGGCTTGTCATGGTAATTCAACTTAATTTGACTTGGTTCACGATTCAATAATTCGTTAACACATTAATTTATGAGAAAAAAAGGTAAGGAAGTTAGGAGAAGTTTGCATTTTTACAATGGTAAGGTTGTTTTCATGATTTGCTCTTGTAACTTGACCCGCACAATTTTAACCGCCCCATTTTATTAGCTGTATCAGTAGAGCTCTACCTGATAGTTTTCTTTAGAAACAATTGTACGATGATTAATTTTATACTTTCTCAAAACTTCTCTGCTATGTAGTTGACTTACATTTTTACAGCTCTACATATTTCATTCTACTATATATTGGCAGCCTAATCATACAAACGGGACTAAACCTAAGTCCCAGATTATAAGCAGTAAACTGTAAACCAGAGATAGTAGAAAGATAAGCACTGTCTCACTGCTAACCAGGCAATTAACCTTCAGCAATTATGCAAGAAGCACCATCGACTCGATTTCTCCTGTTCATCTTCTACCTGACTGCAGTATCGTCGTCGTCCGGCGTCTCGTCGGCGGCGGCGGCCGGACGCGCCATATCGCTGCCTGGGTGCCCCGACAAGTGCGGCGACGTCTCCATCCCCTACCCGTTCGGCGTCGGCGACCGCTGCGCCGCCGTCGGCCTCAACCCGTACTTCAACATCACCTGCGACGACGCCGTGAGGCCACCGGTCCCGAAGCTGGGCGACCCTGGCATGGAGGCCGAGGTCCTCGACATCACGCTGGAGCGCGGCGAGATCCGCCTCACCGGCTTCCTCAGCTACGTCTGCTACACGTCGAGCAACAGCTCGTACGCCAGCCTCCCGGGCGGCATCTTCGTCGGCGGCACGCAGCTCCGCGTCTCGCCGTCGCGCAACCAGCTCACGGTGATCGGGTGCAGAGCTCTTGGCCTGCTGGTCGGCGGCGCCCACGCGGGCGGCTCCGGCGACGGCGACGAGTACGCCACCGGCTGCTACACCTACTGCGCCAGCCTCAACAGCACGGACGCCGACGGCGCGCCCTGCGCCGGGACGGGGTGCTGCCAGGCGCCCATCTCGTCGGACCTCGCCTACGTCGGCGGGACGTTCCCGAGCAACTGGACGAACAGCGGTTGGCGCTTCAACCCGTGCTTCTACGCCCTTATCGCGGAGGTTGGGTGGTACAGCTTCCGGCGGCGCCACCTCGCCGGCGTCCTTGGGTTCGTCAACGAGACCAAGCCCAGCGACATCCCCGTCGTCCTCGATTGGGCGGCCAGGGACGGCTGGTGCCCGGCGACGGCGGAGGAGAAGGCGCGGCGGAAGTACGCGTGCGTGAGCGGCAACAGCCACTGCGTCAACTCGAGCAACGGCATGGGTTACTCGTGCAGCTGCAACCAAGGCTACGAAGGCAACCCTTATCTTGACAACGGCTGTCAAGGTACGATTCTTTTTACCGATGAGTACAAATGGTCAGTGGCTAACCCAGAATAAAATTACCAGAGAAGAGAATAGAGATCCTTATATGCTTATAATCTACTTCCTTTGTCCCCAAAATAAAAATCTAGGTAGGGATGGGACACCACCTAGGACATGTCCAGATTCTTTGTCTTAGGTGGTGTCACATCCCCACCTAGATTGTTTTTTGGGACGGACGGAGTAATTTATGAGTAATATAATAACTGATGTGACCTAAAAATACTTAGAAATAGTCAAACTATCCAGTGTTCAGAGACAACAGGTAAATACATGTAGGAACGCCACTGGAAATGGTCTATAACTCTATTATCTTTTTATCTTTTTTTAACATCTGATGCTATCGTTCATATACACGCGCACACTCATCTCTGCCTACTACTATCTACTCATAAATTTAGATATAGACGAATGCACGCTACGAAGACAGGGTCGCCAATACGAGGATGTATACCCATGCAAGCACGGTATCTGCATCAATACACCAGGAAGCTACCGTTGCAAATGCAAGGCAGGAACAAAACCAGATGGCACGAATTTTGGATGCCAACAAGTGCTCCCCATGGCTGCCAAAGTGATCATAGGTAAGACTACTATCTCCAAATTAATTAATGGGTTGAATGTGTAAAACGGATTTGAGCAATTATTAATTTCTTTTACAACAATATTACTTCTATATTTTTTTAAGGAATGGATGATGCATGATGGAATTTAGACGTCAGAGTTGCATCTTGTCAACCTTGAAATGTAATAAAGAAGTGCTACTAGACAAGTATGAGTAGTATTTAGAGTGTTTTGAATCCGTCCATCCCATATAAGCTTTATCAAAATAAGCTGTGTGACATCTCAAAATTTGATCCAGTAAATAAAAGTAAAAAAATGGAGATGTGACAAGGAGATCCACTGATCTAATTATTTATGATTGTTTATTGAGACTAGCATAATATACAAATGGCCAAAAGGCCTGCCCGGCACAGCCCGGCCCAGGCACGGCTAACCATCGGGCTGGCATGGCCCGATCGGCACTTCGTGCCGGGCCGGCCCGGCCCATGGGCTGCACCTCCTGCCCAGGCATGGCCCACCAGCTGTCGGGCCGTGCCGTGCTGGCCCGAAGGCATGGGTGGCCCACCGGGCCTTTTTAAAAATAAGTCTATTTTTCCTCCCTCCTTTTGGCTGTTACATATGTGTAGCTAAAATAAGTCAATTTTCCGTCCCTCCTTTTTGGCTGGCATATGTATAGAAAAAATAAGTCTATTCTCCATCCCTCCTCTTTGGGCTGACATATGTATAGATAAAATAAGTCTATTTTACATCCTTATTCTTTCATCCATAGCATATAATATGTCTATTTTTACTCCTCTATTTTTTTTTTGTGTATCGGGCCTAGCTGTCAGCCTATCGTGCCGTGCCGGGCCGGGCCAGCTCAACGTGCCAGGAGAGAGGCCTAGACACGGCCCGGTGGTCGAGCCGGGCCGGCACGGGCCCGACCTCCGTCGGGCCGTGCCGTGCTTGGGCCGGGCCAAAATGCCGTGCCATGGGCCGGGCCGTCGGGCCCCGGACCTTTTGGCCATCTATAGCATAATACCAAGGAGTGTTTAGAAAAGAGCGTATGTCATCAACGTATTCTTTTTATTACTTACATACACCTGTTAAATGGGCCTTTTGGTCTCACAATCTCTTTATTTTTCTCCTTTAAAAAAGTTGGTAGTTGGTGAGGGTGGAGTGGTAGATTCACCACTTAAAGGTATGGGCTAATAAGTTCTATATGTTGATTTTTAAACGTCTTTACTATTAAATTGACCAATGATTGATTCTTGTAAATATAACTCTATATCCCATATATTTACTGGATTTAAAGTTTGTAGATTAAATCGAGCGGTTTAAAATTGTATATTTTATTTAAAATAGAAACGGAATAATTTATTCAACTGTTATAATGTAATCCTAGATAGAGTTGTGCCAAACGTGACCTATTAGTCAATATCAGTGAAAGCACATTGAAATATAAAATTGTTGGTATGCATTTTATGCATTACAAATATTAACTTCAAGGTACATTTCTTTTTTAAAAAAAGATTAATGGAAAGAGAGAACATAGGTGTGAACAAAACAAAGAACATACACCAATGATTGAAAAAAGTGACTGATAACTGATAAATAGACACTCTCATAAGCAAAAATACGTAATTTGTTATTTTTAGATTAAAATCCCCCCTTAAAAATGGAGAGTACGCCATAAACAAGTAAATAAACTTGTGACAGCTTTTTAATGATCCCTTCTCTTTTTCCCTATTTGCAATAATTCTCAGAAGTTGCAATAATTCTCACAAGTTAACACAACATAATTAATCAACTGAATACTGCTAATTATTTTTTTTCAGGGCTGAGTGCGTGTTCCATCTTCGTCATGGCTCTGTCATGCATGCTAGTAATCCAACTGCAGAGAAGGAAGCACACCATCGAGAAGCAGGAGTACTTCAGGCGAAACGGAGGCCTGAGGCTGTACGACGAGATGGTGTCGAGGCAGGTCGACACGGTGCGCGTGCTCACCGTCGACGAGCTCAAGAAAGCCACCGACAACTTCAGCGACGCCCGCGTCCTCGGCCGCGGCGGCCACGGCACGGTCTACCGTGGCACGCTCGACGATCTCCGGGAGGTCGCCATCAAGAGGTCCAAGGCGGCGGTCGACGGCGACGGCGACGGCGGCGGCTGCAAGGAGGAGTTCGTCAACGAGATCATCGTGCTGTCGCAGATCAACCACCGCCACGTCGTGCGGCTGCTCGGCTGCTGCCTGGAGGTGCACGTCCCGATGCTGGTGTACGAGTTCGTCCCCAATGGCACCCTGTTCGACCTCCTCCACGGCGGGACGGCGGCGCGGCGGCGGCCGGTGTCGCTGGGCCTCCGGCTGAAGATCGCGGCGCAGTCCGCGGAGGCGCTGGCGTACCTGCACTCGTCGGCGTCGCGCGCGATCCTCCACGGCGACGTCAAGTCGCTCAACATCCTGCTCGACGGCGCGCTCGACGCCAAGGTCGCCGACTTCGGCGCGTCGGCGCTGAGGTCCGCCATGGGCGAGGGCGAGTCGTTCATCGAGTACGTGCAGGGCACCCTGGGCTACCTCGACCCGGAGAGCTTCGTCAGCCGCCACCTCACCGACAAGAGCGACGTGTACAGCTTCGGCGTCGTCCTCGCGGAGCTCATCACCCGCAAGAAGGCGGTGTACGAAGACGACGGCGGCGGCGGCGGAGGCTCCGGCGAGAAGCGGTCGCTGTCGTCCACGTTCCTCGCGGCCTCCAGCCGGGGTGAGCTCTGGAGAGTGGTGGACCGCGACATCATGGACGGCGACGACGTCGACGCCGTGGTCCGGGAGCTCGCGCGGGTCGCCGAGGAGTGCATGGGAGCGAGAGGCGAGGAGAGGCCGGCGATGAAGGAGGTGGCGGAGCGGCTGCAGGTGCTGAGGAGGGTGGAGATGATGGAGGCGGCCGCAGGTGTTGAGGTGGTGGATGGCTTCAATGGAGGAGGATTAGTTGGGCGGCATGGGCATCTGGACACCACGACGACGACGACGACGTCTTATTACCAGAGCATGGAGACGGACAAGCTCCAGCTGGATGTTGATGATCTTGTACGCTAGCTGATGCTTCTAAAACCTTTACTTCTTCTGTAAAGTAAAAAAAGGTGTATATGAGATTGTAAATATGATAGTTGAACCTACACTACAAAACTACTAGCACTAAAGAAATGACAAAGCAAAAGAAAAAAAAATACGCAAGCCAACAAGTCCTGTTATACGTACACGTTTCACTCCTCTTATACCATGCAAACTTAAAACAGAACTCACTCAGAAATAAGATGAATTTTATTTATTTTTTGAACAATTTCATTCTTTTATTTTAAAAATAAACTCTCTCAACCGATTGGCCATGCCAACAGGGTTGGTGTGGCGAAACAACACTGTCGCACCAATCTAGCTAGCACGACAGCGTTATTTGATCATGTTGGTCTAGCTGATGTGGCAGTGTAAAACTGTCACACTCATTATGGATGGTGTAAAAATATTGTTTTGTCATGCCAGGTGTGATGACACGGTCAAAACATTCAGATTTTGGAAAAAAAAGTTTTGGGAAGATTTAATTTAAAGTTAAAATTAAAAAGGTTCAAAAAATAATAACAATTCAAACAAGGTAGTGCATTATAGCTGTATAGAAATATGTTCAACCACCCTAAAAAAGAAATATGTTCAACTGGTTTTATACCATCCTGGATACAATTATGGGACACTGCTAAAAAAACGATTTTCACATGCAAGACCCATATCACTACGCAGACGAGCTGAATTTTCACCCTAAATGGCCACCTGCATTGTCCTGAGTGAGGGGTGGGATGACCCTCCTCCTATGAAAATGTATGAATTATTACAGGCGGAAGATTTAAACGGTCCGCATGTGAAAGTGAAATCATGTCTCAGCCTACAAAAATATATCTAAGTCACATCCTTATCCTCTCCTCCACTTATTTCCCTCCCCCTCCCCCCTTCCCTCTCACTCTGTTACTCTCACGCGTTATAACCACCACGCGGCGGCGGCTCCAAGGAGGAGCAGTGAGGGCAGCGGCAACATCTCGGCGATGAGGAGGAGTGGCAGTGCCGTCTCGGTGATGAGAAGGAGTAGTAGTGGGGCCCGGGTGGCGGATTAGGCAGCGGAGCTAGTTCTGCGGCGGGCAGACCCAATTGTGGAGCTAGGGCTATGACGGCTTGGCGCGCGAGTGGCGGGTCTGGCGACGGTGAGGCTTGCGGGGGCGGGATCCAGCGGCGAAAATGATGACTGCATTGACGCAACCTCCTTCCTCTCTCCTTCGTGCATCGACAGCGACAATGGTGGGAGCGGTGGATTCGCCGCTTCATCGCCGCAGGCCTCCAAGTGGATCTCATTGTAGCCAGCCACTGCCCTCCCTCGCCGATGTCGATGTTGGTGCACTGTTTCGACTTCTTCCCCCAAGACGCTAGTCAAAGATGCTACCGAGGACAACTCCAATATTGGGATGCCGCTGCCGCCATCCTTGGCTTCTTGTTTTTTTTTAAAAAAAGTGATTGTTGGAATGCATTAATTTTTGTTGTGAATTTTAGAAGGGTGGAATTGGATGGTGAATTATATGAATTTGGGAATATTAGGGGATCTGAATTTTCTTTTTATATGCTCAAAATTATTTTTGCAGTCAGACCACTTAGGATGGCCGTTTGTGATAATCAATTTTTTATGTGGATAAATGTCCGCCCGTGAAAATCGATTACAGGGCTTGAGGTGCAGATGGAGCATTTTGCCATTTGAAAAAAAAAAGAAAAGGAGATTTGCCCGTATGTTATAGTAGTGGGACTGGGACTGTGGGAGTCGTCCATTTCCATGACTCCATCGATGGCAAGTTGGCAACAACGCCAACAAGCTCTCGGGGGGAGGGTCCTGTGTCTCCTGCTGTATGAGCTCAGAATCAGATAAGAGCAAAGATAAAAGATAATAGTAGAGCTCACTGTCTACTATTAGCCTATTTTATAGCCAACACATATAATAGATTAGCTATAAGATTGATTACAATTTTCTTCTCCTATCTCTATCTCTCACTTATATATTTATTATTTTTGTCTTGGAGCTTGTGTTAAGCTAGCTCTTGCATGAAAGACAACACCTTTGATTTTTTTTTATTACCTCTCTCCTCCACGTAAGATTATAGTAAGGTTACATCTCACTGTTATACTTGCTCTCACTCGAGTTCTACACGACTGATTCGATCTGGTCTTTGGTTAATTCGTGGGGTCAATGGCTACAGGCTGAAATTTCAGGGGGACAGAAATCAGGATAGCATATTTCTAAATTCTAATCTTACGAAAAACTAGGAAAGATCTTGTTTACAGTGCTCAAAATTTGCTTCAAATTTCTTTTAAAAAAATTAAATCTAGAACCTAAGGTTAAAAAAAAAAAACTTCCCTGTGCCCCGTGCCCCCGGCGGCACTGTGGAAGTGAGGATCCAAATTCCAATCCTAGGTAGCGGCAGCCAACGGAACCCGAAACTTTTCCCCAATTCCGAAGCAAAATTCGAGCAAAGAATCGGTCGGTCTGGCGATGGAGCCTCCCGCCGGAGACGCCGCGCCGTCGTCGCTCATCTTCCTGGGCACCGGCTGCTCCACCGTACCGTCGTCCCGGACACCAGGTGCCTCATCAGGCCCTCTCCCTCCCGCCCCACCGAAACCCCAATTACAGGTGCACGCAGTCACTCGCCCTTAAAGAGTTGGATCTCTTTTTTTTTTTTTTTCGTTCCATTGATAAGACGGATTGTCGACCAGCTCGCCCGCGAGGTTTGCATCAGAATGCAGATCATCATATGTTTCACTCTTTTCAGTGTTGTGCTGCAACCTGTGCTGCCTTTAACCTTGTATCCTATACTTGGTTACTTTCAACAGCCTGAATCTTAAGTGTCAATTTAAGGGCTCCTTTGATTCAAAGGATTGGCATAGGACTTTTGTAGGATTTATAATCCTATGGATTTTTTCCTATGTATGTCTTTGATTCATAGAAAATGAAAGGAAACATTCCTTAGGATTGCATTCCTTTAGTTCATTTTCACAGGAAAATAAGAAAGATGTCTGACCTCTTTGGAAACTTTCCTGGCGCGAAAGAAGGGCGCGCCCACGCGTGCGCACGTCGTCGTTGGCGCCACTTTTGTGTGTTTGGCGGTAAACCGTGGCCCTTCGCGCTTCTTCCAGAAAAAAAGAGAGAGAGAGAAAGATGGGAACGAGAACACCGAGGACCACATATTAGCAGCCAAGAAAGCCAACTGTGATAGAGATAGACAGCAGCTTGAGCCGGCCGCTGGGGGTGCAAGGCGGAGGCGAGGCTCGCCGGCTCAGTCGCGTATGTGGCTTCCGCTGGGGACGCCGGCCCAACAACTAGCAGCACGCAACAACCAAGCACAGCATCCATCTGGCGCGCAGGTTGGGCTCCGCTAGGCGGAGGCGTGCGGCAGGTCCGCCATCGAGGGCAGCAGCCAGGGCCATCGATTTGGTATTTGTCTGCACTTTTGAGCTTTCATACTTGACTTATTATTGACTTATTAGTGCTTCTGTACTTTGGATCTATGGATTAGTGAATTTTTAAGCTGACTACTTGGAACTAGTTTGTTTCATTGGCACTGTAGGTGTAAATCCCTCTCTGATAAGGATTGTGTATTTCTTTTTTCTTTCTTTTTTTTGGGGGTTAGGAAAGCAATGCCATCGAAAGGCTCTTCTCAGATGACCATGACAAATCAACGCAATTTGTCCGATCGACGAGCCCAGCAACCTCTATCACAGGTTTATGTTGATGTTGACAGTGAGCATGGGACTGCAGAGCGTCAAGAAATAGGTAATATTTGCAAATTCAGTTTCACTTGTTGTTTGCATCAAACCTTTTTTGTTTCATATTGCTGCTGAAATTGAAATTGTTAAATGTTTGTCAAATTTAGGGACGACAAAGAGAGCCAGATGGAGTCACCAGATGAAGATGTTCCTTATTGAGCTCCTAACAGATCATGACGTGCCAGGTTTTCGAACACAAAATGCTTGGAGTAAGGAAGCATGGACAAATATTGTTTGCCGCCTGAATACAAAATTCGGTACATCATTTACGACCAACCAAGTCAAGCAAAAGGAGCAGGATTTGAAGAAAGATTATCGCAGTGTTAAAGATTTGTTGGATCAAAGTGGTTTTGGGTGGGATAGTGACAGAATGATGGTGAGTGCACCACAAAGTGTTTGGGACACTTTTGCTGATCGCAAGAACAAAGATGCAATTCATTGGCGAGATAAGTCGTTCCCATATTTTGATGATTTAGCTCCACTTTATGATGGTGAGCTTTATATTTTTTTTATCAGTGGTTTGTTTGTTTTGTTGAAATGTTTTAGGCAAGTTATGCTGATCGTGAGGAGAATATAATTGTGCAGGTCGTTATGCTGAAGGGAGAACTCGCCATGGTATGGACCATTATGCAAGGAAGACAAAGAATGCACCAGCTCATTCAACACAAGAAGCAAATGCGGTTGATACATATCAGTCACCATCCCCTAATTCAAATGCTCCAGGTGAATCAGGTTTGCAATTTCCTTTTGGTGAAGAGGTTGAGACAGCCAATTTGGACTTTTCACAGCATTCACCTACCCCTGTCCATCTCACAAAAGTCCCACCTAGCTCGGCACAAACACCTTCAGAGGTTCCTGAATCTCGACCTGGGAAGAAACAAAAGATCAAATCTGTTAGTCCTGATGATGGATTTCATGAGAGATACCTAAAACTTAAAAAAGAAGAAATAGATCGATTTGCTGCAATTGAGGAGAAGAAATTGGAGGATCCTTACAGCATCAACAAGTGTATCACAGTGCTTGAAGGTTTACATGGTCTACAAATAGGAGATATATTGGTGGCAGCTGATATCTTCAAAGGTAAGGATAATAGGGAAGTTTTCTTGTCCTTTTCAAGTGATGCATTACGCCTGGCTTGGATTAGAAAGGAAATCGCAGCATTAGAGTGAGTACTTTTGTGAAACATATGGCATGCAAGTAGTAGGATAGTACTTTTGTGAAATAGATGGCATGCAAATAGAAGGATAGTACTTTTGTGAAACAAAGGGGTACTTTTGTGAAGCAGATAGTAGTAGGATATACTTTTGCTTAGAGGGAGTGCATGCAAGTAGTTACTTCATTAAGTAGAATGTGACAAACTTGGAGTACAAGACTAGTAATTGACCTTGAATGCCATGGTGGTCAAATGCAATATATTATTTCCTTCGTGCTACGTAATGGTTCCACATCTGTTGTGCCATGTCATCTCGTTTTCTATTCCCAGCTTCTCTAGAGTTGTTAAATTCTTGTACATCACCATTATAGTTCTCGTCTCCATTTGGCACATCAACAATATGATCTGGATCAATCTCCAAATGACAATTACTTGGCCACACCATATCTCCATTATGCAGGCGTATGAAGTTGTGTAGAACACAACAGGCAACCGAAATATCAACTTGTTTACGAGCTGGGTGGTGTGAGCCGGTCTTTAGTATAGGAAATCTCATTTTTAATACACCAATTGCTCTCTCTATATGGTTTCTGAGTTGTGCATGCCGAAGATTGAATAACTCCTTATAATTTTGTGGCTTTTGATTAGCTCTGCCCTGTTCCTTTAAATGATATCTTGTCCCACGATACGGTGCTAGAAACTGTGTTGTATTTGCATAACCAGCATCTACAAGAAAAAATTTACCAGGAGGTACTTCAAAACCATGGTTTAGTGCATCTTGAAGAACTCTTGCGTCTGAAGCTGATCCCTCCCAGCCGGCATGTACATGTACAAATTTCAGATCGAAGTCGCAAGCTACCATAACATTCTGAGAAATTGTTTGCTTTCTATTCCGGTATGGTTCTTGCTGGTCTAGTGGAAGTATCATTGGTACATGTGTCCCGTCAATAGAGCCAACACAATTCTATACAAATACAAATATAACCTTGATTAAAATCTTTTTATGTACAATGATTGGTTTAACTCAAAGTAAAAAAAAAAATCAAAACATGAATCTGTTCATACCTCAAAAAAGGGGTGAAATTTTGGTCTTCTCAAGATATGATGGGGGTGTAGGAAAGGTGTAGCGCCCGTTCCGTCGTGGCGCCTAGCGGGAAAATTATCTCTTAAAAACCCTATCTGCGAAATTTGTTTCTTTGATTGTTGTCTAGTGTCCGTGCCATCTCAAGATCTCAATCCCCGATCTATCGTCGAGTTCAAATCCGAATCCAAATCCTTCCAAATCGATTCCCTCCGCAAAGTTTAGTTTGCCTCCCCCGGGGTTCGATGGGCCGAATTCCGCTCGGCCCATCTCTCTCTCTCTCTCTCCCGGGCTCTCTTTCTCTCTCTCTCCCCCCCCGGCGCGCTCCTCCCCCCCCGCTCTGCCTCGCCCGCACGCTGCTCGCGCGTGCGAGAGTCGCCCCGAGCGCCTCTCTCCCTCCGCTCCGCTCCGCCCCGCCCGCGCGCCGCGCGCGCGTGTGCGCGTGTGCCGCCGCGCCGAGCGCCCCCTCGCCCTCCGTCTCCCCATCCCTCGCTGCCGCTCCCCGCGTGCAGTTGCTCGCGCGCGCCCGCGTGGATGCCGCCCGGTCCCGCCAGCCCGCGCCTGTCGCCCGAGCCGCGCCGTTCAAACCACCGCGCCTCCCGCTGTTTTCCCGCGCGCGCGTGCCGAGTGGCCGACCGCTCGGTCGCCGCCGTCGTCAGCGCCTGCCCGCGCCTGTCGCCAGTGTCGCCGCTCCGCTCCAAACCGCCGCCGTCATCGCCGTCGTCATCGCCCGGCCCCCGCCACTCCGCGCGCAAGCCGCCAAGGGACGGAGGCAGCGCCCCCCTCCCTCTGCCGCGTCGCCCCCGCTCCCCTCCTCCTCTTTCCCAAATCGGCAAAGGGGCAAGCCCCTTTTCCCCCTTCCTTTTCCCCTTTTCCTCCCCGCCGGCGTCATCCTCCCTGTCGCCAATTTGGCCGCTAGCCGGAGCGCCAGCTTGCACCTTGACCGCGCAAGTCGGTTCTCAAACCGACATTGCCGTCCCCTTTAAACCCCCGGCCTCCCCTTACCCCTCCTCTTCCATTCGTCTCCGCGCCGTAGCCGCCGCCCCGTGCTCTGTCTCACCTCCGCCGTCCTTCGCCGAGCGCCGGGAGAGCCGGTGCATTCGAGGACGCGGAAGGGGACTTCGGCCGCGCCCTCTCTTTCCTCTTCCCCGGCCCGAGGCCGGAGAGATTACTCCCGCGCCGTCGGCCTCTCGTCACAGCGCCCCTCCTCTTCCCGGTGATGTCTCTCTCCGTTCTCCCTCCTCGCTCCGTCTCCTCTCCCTAGCTTTCGGTAGTAGCTCGAGTAGACCCCCCATAGCTAGCCGGCGCCGCCCCAACCGTTGCCTTCGCTCGCCGTGTGCTCGCCGCCGTCGCCGCCCGAGCTCCGTAGCACCCGCTCGTCGCTGGCCTCGCTCGGCGTAGTTCCGCCCAATCCGACGCTAGCGTCGAGTTCCCGAAGCCGCGTAGATGCTCTCACCGCCGGGAATCGACCCCTCGTAGCCTCGTCGCCGTCTCCCTCTTCTCCCGCCGCCGGTTGCCGCCGCCGCAATCCGCCGCCATCGAGCAACCTCCGGCGAATCCGAGCCGTTGGCTCGCCTCCCCCTGTCACGAACAACCGCCCGGTGTGCTCGCTTTTGTCCGTATCACCGTGGTTCGCTCCGCCGCTCGCCGCCGCCGCCCGCCGTCCATTCGCGGCCGGGTCGTCGTCTACCTCCCGCCGTCCTGCGTGGCAGCCACGTAGGTGCCACGTCGGCGCCAGCTCAGCTTAGACCGGGTCGAGCCGACCCCGGTCGGTCCCTCCCCGTGCGCGCGTTCCACCGCAAGCCGTGAGGCTGCGCGTGGGCCCGTCGCATCTGCGTCCGCCGCGGACCGCGCGCGTGCACCGTGTTCCTCCCCGCCCGCGCGCGTGCGCCGCGTGCTCCCTCCGCACGGTGAGCCGAGCCGCTGACAAGCGGGTCCCACCCGGGACCGCGCGTGGTGAGCCCGGTCCACCGGACTCTCTCTCCCCTCCCCCGCGCGCGCGCGCTTGGGCCGTTTTGGGCCGGCCGGCCCATTAAGCTCGGCCGAGCCGCCCCAGATCCCTTGGGCCGCACCCTAGCCGCCCGAGGAAAGTCTAAATTTCCTCCCTCCTTCCTTTTCTTTCTCTTTTCCAAAAAGGATTTAATTAAATCCTTTTCCTTTAGATCAAAAATTCAATAATCTTAGAAATTCAATATCTTCCCAACCGTAAATCCGTTTGACTCCGTTCAACTTCCAAAATTCCTCAAATCTCGAGATCTATCTAATGGCATGCTTAGAGGTCGTTAATAGGGCTTTATTTTCGCCGTTTGTTGAGTTGTCCCGTTTCGCGTGTAGTTTCGGAGCCCGAAGACCCGCAGTGCGAGGATTTCGAGGATCAAGCTCCAGATCTCGAGCAAGGCAAGCCACCTTTGAACATCTTGAGCCTATATTTGAAATTTAATTATGTTGCTTGCAAAATATTATGCATTGATAGGATCACACTTAATCTGTTGTCCCGTCTGCGAAGCAGATTGGCGGACTTACCTAATTTGTCGCATTTGATCCTTCCATTGTTAATTACTATACCATGTCCCCTTGTAACCACCCAGTTGCGCCTCGATACTCGCGCACTCTGTGCGAGTATCGACGGTCGCCTTCAAACTTAAAATCTGAGTAACAACTTGGGTAAAACTGGAGTTTTACAAAAGACTTGGAAAACCCGACACTTGGGTCGGTGCTTGCGAACTAAATGAATTTCCAAAACCGCGGACCGGGGAACGTACCGGGTGTACGGTTTCCCGCTCTCGCACTTAAGGACCGATTCCTTGGAATTTCATCCAAACATAAGACAAGTACGACCACATGGGTGGAATGGGACACCCCTGGCTGAGTAACTAGCTTATCAGGGGAGCCTTGATGCCGAGAGACATGTGGATTCGCCGGGGTGGTGTCGGGGAGGACCCCTGGGCTTCCTGGCACAGTATGGTCTGGGACCTAACCTGTTGTTGGTCTGGGACCCCTCTCGTCGGCATATGGTAAACCTGTATCGGCTTTCGAAATGCCTTGTCATGAAAGCTTGGAGGTCTCCCGACGTGGCTGATCCCCACGGGCTGGGTGACCCGGGTTAGTAATGTCGTGTGGGTAAAGTGTACCCCCTCTGCATAGGTCATTAAACTGTTCGAACAGCCGTGCCCACGGTCACGGGCGGATGTGAGGTGATTCCTAGCGTAGTTTTGTTTGACTACTGCTTGTGAGATTGCCGTTGTGAAAAATGGGTTCGATGTTTGAAAAATCAGCAGCTGACGGGATCAGCTAGGTCCGGGTGGCCGTTTGAAAAGTTGTTGGCCCGGGTGGCCGTTTAAAAAGTGGTTGGCCCAGGGCGGCCGTTTAAAAAGCTATTGGCCGGGTGCCAACCTTGTTTCAAAATCTAAAGACTGATACATTGCACATACTCCGACCGGACGAGACGCACTGTCTCATCCGTGTCGTTTGAGAAGCACTCACTTAGTTGTTTTTAGAAAAGAGTTCAAATAAAATCAGTTGCAAAAACAACAGCCTTTCCTTGAAGCCTGCATTAAACACTTATTTCCCCTGGCTTGCTGAGTACTCCCGTACTCACCCTTGCTCTATATAAATATTCCTCCCCCCCTCAGTTGCTGAAGAAGATGAAGCGGATCCTGCTGATGAGGAGTTCTTCCAGGAGCAAGCCGGCTACGATGAGTTTTAGGGTTTCGGCCTAGTTCCCAAGTCGTGCCTGTGATTGATTGGTCCAAGTCCTGGCTTCCGCTTTCCTTTTGTAATGCAGTTGTGAGCTCGGGATCTGTCCGCAGCCCAACATGACTGTACTTCTACTCTATAATAAAGAGACCTCTGTTGCTGTGATACTCTGTCTCCCTGTGATACCAGCACTGTTTCCTGGGACTGGTATCGATTAACAGGTTAATTTGGAGCGTCACGGGCTAGTTCCGGTCGGGACTAGTTCGGGGCGTGACAAAAGGTGGCCGTATATATACACATGTAAGTTGTGTAACTGCATCAAGCACAACCCCAAAATACTTGCTTATTGTTTGCCCGCTGTGTTGAAACTGATCTTGCAAGGTCTCATTACTTGCATTTTTTGCTAGTGCATACAAGAATATAGCAACTTGTTCTTCTACTGAGACATCTCTTGCATCAGCAAGTAGTTGTTTCTCACGCAACTTATCGACTAAAGCTCGAAAAACATTAACTTCCATGTGAAAATTCCTTTTGCTTAGGCTCTGATGACCTATTAAGATTTCATTAACACGACAAGCCCCTGAAAGTTTTGATGTGTGCATCGGTTTCCTACTAGATGATGGTTGTGACGAATCTCCTTCGATGGTAGGGAGAACAAAAAGCATGAACTCATCTTCATTCTGTGACCGTCGTCGATAACTTGGATCCATGACAATCACAGGGGAAATCAACAACAAATAATAAATCTGATGGTTTGGTCTACCAATATATATAGGAGAGCAGAAGCAAGCAAATAAGTTGCTAATCCTTACATACATACCAAAAAGAAAAAAAAATCATTTATGACTTACCAAATGAATTGCCACGTTTGAGCTCTTGTCATGCTTGGCCGATACAATCGAAGGTGAGGTGAGCTAGTTTTGTTGATGTCCAGTTGCAGCTACAGCAATATATATAAGGACATGCAACGGCTAGTACTTGCTTTGAACGCCAACGGCTATCTGTTCAAATTCAAACCGGAAGAGAAATCCTGTATTTTTCCTATAGCACTATCAAAGGGCACCTTTCATTTTTTCCTATGTTTTTGATTTCTGCGGGATTGAAGAATCATACTACTTCCTATTCCTGTGTTTTTCCTATTCCTGTGTTTTTCCTATCCTGCGAATCAAAGGGGCCCTAAGTTCCCATTGGTATGCTGTGCTGCAGAGTGCTGTTATCTACAGGAAAGTTTTACCAATCAAGTAATGCTGTTTGGTATATGACTCCAAAGATTGCTTTCAGATGTAGTTGTGGTATTAAAGTGTACAAATTAAAATTGTGTTTTGAAGTCGGCTCTATTGTAAAAAAGAAACCTTGATGCAGCAACTGAACATTCTGTTTGCTTTCAGGTGTAACACCTCCCTATTTATATATTACTGCGACAACGATGGAACCCATAGGTACATTTTTTTTGACGCAAGAACCCATAAGTACATTATAATTGATGTTGGCAAGACCTTTAGAGAGCAGGTTCTCCGGTGGTTTGTTTGTCACAAGATCCCTTGGGTTAACTCGGTGAGATCTCCAACACTGCATTGTTCATTGTTTCAATCTATTTTCCTTTGGAATTTATGCCTAAGTAAAAAAAAGCTTTGTTGGCAAGAGCCAACTGCAACAAGTTGTCACTCTTTGTGAGTGGTTATAGGAAGTAGCACTAGATGCAATGCAATCAGACCGAATTTAATGGTGTCGGGAAGGTGGAATTTCTATCACAGTTCTTGTGATACTAGCACATAACTAAATCCTTACAGCCAACAACCTTCTCAAATGTGGTTGGCCGCACTCCAATCTGTGAGCTGTGTAGAAGCATGGCTGAGATGTCGGCTCACATAGCCAAATTCTGTTCTTTCAGTCCTACAGTTTCTGGTAACACTGCTGGTTACAAATCGGTAAACTTCCCTTGAATTGTGGAAAGAGGCCACAAGTGCAATGTCTTAGAAAGACCATGGAGATTTCAATGGTCTCATATCCATACTTGGTTGAGCATTTGGAAGGAACAGAATCACAGGTTTTCAAGGAAAATACTTGAACTTCGAGGAAGCGGTCTCTGGGAGGGATGCCATGTAGGATCCAGGGTGATCTAGAGCAGAGGGAAAGGAGAGAAGGTGGTCATCTGTTTGTCATCTTATAGGTAGCATTATACAATATATACCGTTACATGGATTGTATATAAAATCAAATAACTAATTTATAAATTCACTATGTTGATGGCGTTTGGATGATGATCAATCCTTATAGATGTCATGACTAATAAGGCCCTGTGCAGTGCAGATTATTCTTACTCACGAACACGCGGATGCTATCCTAGGTCTTGACGATGTTTGGATGATTCGACCAAGTGATGGAAGAAATGATTTTGGCCAAGTTCCTGTTTTCCTCACACAATTCACAATGGACAGGTCATTCTTGCGCCCCAAATATGTTAACGAGATAATATCATATTTTTTATCATTACCGTGTATTATCACATAACATCAGCTACTGTTTTTTTACAACGTTGCAGCAAGATTCCCCTACTTAGTGAAATATAAGCTAGAGGAAGGTGATGAAGCTTCCCAAGTTGCTCAACTCGATTGGAGAATAATTGAGGGTGATATTGAAAAACCATTTATATCATCGGGGCTAGAGTTTGTGCCCTTGCCAGTGAGAGCCACTGTTGTGAATTGATGCACTGCTTTGGTTTCTCTATGTGTTGTCTTTGAAGTCGCTAGCGTGCTATTCCCTTTTCAGGTCATGCATGGAGAGGGTTATGTTTGTTTAGGCTTCCTATTTGGGAGGAAAGCGAGAATTGCATATTTATCCGACATCTTGAGATTTTTACCTAAAACTGAGCATGGTATGATTTTTCTGACATCAATAGTTCTTCAAATAGTAAAATGCTTGTTTTTGTTTAAAGAAATGATCTTTATCAAACATATTATGTCACTATCTTTGAGGGTCGTTTGTGTGATCATCAAAATATATCAGAATACTGAATATCAAGATAATTTGCAGGTTGTTTCTATTCTTCCTAAACCAACTTCTCAATTTTTGTCAGCTCAATAGATTTCATATGTTTTTGCAATTGGCAACATTTAACTATGTCCGGCAGCAAAATTATCTTAAATCTTTAAAGGATTTGTTGTTATTTAAGCTTATCAAATTTAGTAATATCTGTATCAATATTTTTTTTTGGCGATGAACTATAATCACATCGGCGATGAACTAGCATTAACATGACTAAAAATCACATGTAATCTGTAGATATTCTTTTGTAGTTGGGCTGTATTGAATCCTATTTGATTGTTCCAATTTTACTGGAGAATAGAGGATGCCATTTTTTCATGCAGCCATTTCAAAGTCTGGTGCTGGGCAACTTGATCTTCTTATACTAGAAGCTAACAGTTTGCATGGGGAGGTAGGTCTGTGCCACATGATTGTCATTTGAAACAGCATAATTTGATATCCTTTCACACATATCTGCCGATAATCTGGTATACACTTTACCCTCTGTGAACAGGGAGGTGCTCGTAGTAACCATCTTCCTCTGAATGAGGTTGAATTTGTTAAGACCTTTTAAATATTTTTCTGATTTTTTTTTTTGCAGTAACTAGGTAGATAATTTGTTGACATACAATCTGCCTGCTCTCCATGAAAGCACCCTACAGAACAGGATAGCTCAAACAAAGCAATATTGGCCTAGTCCCTATCAGAATTATATCCATACCTGTCAAGATGGAGCAACCAACCCAACATTTTCTCCCAACATTATTTTTTTTTCAGGCTCTTGATGCTGTGAAGAGGATAAGCCCTAAGAGAGCTTTGCTGACTGGAATGGCACATGAGATCGAATACTACAAAGAAAATCAGAAGCTGGCAGAATGGTCTAGCAGGTATGCATAGACGGATGGTTCCTGAAACATTTTTATATGCACACATCTATTGTCTGGTTGAACTGTCTAACTTGTAAAATTGGGTGATCGTAGAGAAGGGATACCTGTACAATTAGCTCATGACGGCCTCCGCGTGTTTATTAACCTGTAATTTGGTATGCATCATAGTACACAATCCAAATTTGAGCAACATTGTTTTCCTGATATCATCATATATTTTCTTTACTCAGATGTCAAGTTGTCTCCTGCCTCTAGTAGGGGAATTGTTGTATGAATATACCCGAAAAAGCTGAATCTGATATATGTACGTCCCTTTCTCTTTTACTTAAATCACACGATTCAAAAATGTAAACTAGGAAAATAATGTAAAAAACATATATTTATTGCATTCATCTAGACTTTGGAGCTAGTAGTAAATGTGAATGATTCAAACCACGCATTCTGTAAAAAGGAGAAAAGAATGATGGATGCAAAGGTTTGTCTTGGCAGTGAATGGGAAGAAACTTTCTTTTATGTATATGTACATAAGGAAGTCCACCGTTGTCATTCATTTGGAACTTTTGTGCTAATCTTTTGAGTGAGTGAATTGTTTGACCACTTCAAATCAATTACTGCCTGAGCTCACTTGACCTTACCACATGGGTTCAGATTTGCACTGACACTGAAGCTAGAGGTAGGTTACTCCAAACCAATTTTGTATATACATATTTACTATTACTGTTCATACATTTCTCGAAGCAACAAGAAATCGGGAATCTTGTGATAAACTTATAAAATCATGAATTCCTTCATTCCAAGACATACCCTGTTTTTTTAATCAATGAGATTATTCCAAGTAGCCAAGTAGGTAAAATTACAACTGATGAAAACTGAACATGCAGTCTGAAAACGTGAAGCACAGATGGATATGATGTGAAACATGGGATTAGTGTATTGGCAATCTGGCATTTGAAAGATCAAACAATAAAAAACTAAAACTATTTCATACTTCAGTCAAGTCCTCAAAAGAAAGATGGAAAACGACTTCCCGCCGTCGGCACCATCGCCGAAGGATGCAAATGCAATACCAACTCCACTAAATCTCAAAGATGAGCAAGAGGAAAGAGGAGAGAAGCATAGCAAGAAAATTTGATGCATTCTCTATATATATACAAAGATCACACCAACCGAGCACAAAATCTTCCCCATTCCGCAGCAAAAGAGCAGCAAAGAGTTTATCAAGCCAGCGATGGAGCCTCCCGCCGGAGACGCTGCTCTGCCGCCGCCGCCGCCGTCGTCGTCGGTCATCTTCCTGGGCACCGGCTGCTCCGGCGCGCTCCCCGACACGCGGTGCCTCCTCAGGCCGTCCGCGCCGCCGTGCGCCGTCTGCTCCCTGGGCGTCTCGCTCCCACCGGAGCAAAACCCCAATTACAGGTGCGCTTGCAGTCAATATCCTGTGGCCTTCAAAATATATATCGACCAGCCTGATTCAGAGCATCTCCTAGTGCTACTGTAACCTGTCCTGCCCTTTAAGGCCCCGTTTGAATCAAAGAAAAACCATACGAATTCTAGAGGATTTTATCCTATAAGAAATAATTCTATAGAGTCCTTTGAAACAAAGGATTGTTTCCTATCAATTCCTTTGAAATTCCTATGGAATGAACCTTACTAGAGCAATTTTAGAGGAAAATAAGCATGACTCTCACCTCATGTTTTCCTCTTTATGTGTCAAGGTTCCAGCGTTTTTCCTGTGTGCTAATCAAACGACAGTTTGAAGACTTTCTTGTGTTTCAAAATCTCATAGGAATCCAATAAGTGTGGCATTCAATTCCTATGTTTTTCCTATTTCTCTGTTTTCTCAATCATGCGATTCAAAGGGGCTCTAAGCCTTTAACCCGTCTCTGTTTTAAGTGTCAATTTCTCATTGTTACGCTGTCCTACATAACTGAATGCAGTTATCTTTAGGAAATCTGTATCAATCCAGTAATGCTGTTGGTATGACTTCAAAGATTATTATTTTTTAGATAATGGGCAGCGCGCGGCCTCTGCATCATAAGGTGAATGCACACGGCCAAATGACTTCAAAGATGCTTTCAAACTAGTTACTGTATCAAGAAGGACGAAATAAAATTGCATTTTTTAGAGTCACCATGATGCTAAACAAAGCCTTAATGTGGGGGAGCTGAACGTTCTGTTCTCTTTCAGGTGTAACACCTCCCTCTTGATAGATTACTGCCAAGACGATGGAACCCACGAGTACATTATAATCGATGTCGGCAAGACCTTTAGAGAACAGGTTCTCCGGTGGTTTGTTCATCACAAGATTCCTTGGGTTAACTCGGTGAGATCTCCAGTACTGCACTGTCCATTTTTTTTCAGTTTATTTTCTTTTGGGTGAACTGGTACATAGAAATTGATCTATCATCGATGTGGATTTTCATCCCTTTAGGGAACATCTCCTCGTTGTTTGCATGCCACTTTAATAGTCATAAAAAAATTGACAAAAATTGACAACATAGACTAATATGAAATATATCACTTCACAAACATGCAAGTTAAATTCAACTTCTATAAGTTGCAACAAAAAGAACAAATTAAATTGAAAATAGTTATCGTACATTCACAGCTATATTTGTTATTTTTGTTACAGCTTGTAGAAGTTGATTTTAAACTTGCATGTTTATAGAGTGATATATTTCATATTAATCTATGTTGCCAAATTTTTTTAAAAAATTTTGATACCTATTTAGGTGGCATGCACGAAACGATAGGATATCCCCTCGAGTAATGAAATCACTTTCCGATCTATTATGGATGTGGATTTTCATCCCCTCGAGGGGACATCCCCTAATTTGGCGGAGTTTGGTAATCAACAGACGGCGTCCTTCTCTCTCCTCTTTCTCTTGCCTCCCACATCATAGAAATTCCTACATGGCATTCTCTCTTAGATGGTGAAGTCACACCATTGTTGATGCCCTAATAAGGTCATGTGCGGTGCAGATTATTCTCACTCATGAGCACGCGGATGCTGTCTTAGGTCTTGACGACGTTTGGATGGTTCAACCAAAGGGTTGCAGCAATGATTTCCGCCGAGTTCCGATTTTTCTTACCCAATTCACAATGGACAGGTCACTCTATCACAACTAGACATATAACAGATGTCATATTGGTTATCATTACCATGTATTACCTTGTAACATCGGCCACTATTTTTACAGTGTTGTAGCAAGGTTCCCCTACTTACTGAAAAATAAGCTAGAGGAAGGTGACGAAGTTTCCCAAGTCGCTCAACTCGATTGGAGGATAATTGAGGGTGATATTGACAAGCCATTTGTATCATCAGGGCTAGAGTTTGTGCCTTTGCCTGTGAGAGCCACTGTTGTTAATTTGAAGTGCTGCTTTGGTTTCTCCTTTTTCTCTTTGAAGTCGCTAACTTTGCTATTTTTGTTTTCAGGTCATGCATGGAGAGGGTAATATTTGTTTAGGCTTCCTATTTGGGAGGAAAGCAAAAATTGCATATTTATCTGACGTCTCAAGATTTCTACCTGAAACTGAGTATGGTATGATTTTTCTGCCAACAATAGTTTATCTTCAAATATATGCTTGACAGAAATGATATTTTATCGAACTAATGTTCAAAGTCATGGTTATTTCTGAGATCATTATGATATATATGAATGCTGAAAATCAAAATAATCTGCAGGTTGTTTGGATTATTGCTAAACCTGTTTCTCTTTTTTTTTACTGTACAATCTTGAGAATTGAAAAATAAAATCCTTTGGTTTGTCAATAGATTTTTTCTACTGGACAGCCATTTTAGATGTCGTTTTGCTGAAACAGGTCATTTCATATTTGGCTTCAATACTCTGCGAAATTGTGCCTGTTTGCAATAACACACTCCAATAATTACATACAGTAACATTTTTAACTGAATTGGAATGAGGGACTGAGCCTGTCACTGGTGGAGAAACCCTTTGTAGTCCCGGTTCGTAACCCCCCTTTAGTCCCGGTTTCCAAACCGGGAGTACCAATCCGGGACTAAAGATCGCTATCTTTAGTCCCGGGTGAAATAACCGGGACTAAAGATAGAGCTGACCTTTTTTTTTTTTTTGCATGCCCCTGTTGCTGCATGGATATATATATATATATATATATATATATATATATATATATATATATATATATATATATATATATATATATATATATACATATATATATATATATGTATTTATACATATATATGTTATGCAAATGCATATGTATATAGATATATATATGAACAAAATATATTTACATTATAGAAAATGTGTACACATGCATATAGAAACATATGTAGTCATGTATTAATTACAATCCATTATATGTCCTAGCTAGCTACGATTTCGACGTAGTAGTACTCGCTGCTAGCTCAGAAGCTAAGGACCGGTGAATTGTGTTTCCGTCGTAGTAGAATTCACCCTTGGGATCAAGGATTTCTTCGTTGATGAATCCCATGAGTTGTTCTTGAACCGCCGCGATAAATTCCTTGTGTGTGGTCAGGTTATCCCTCATGCGAATAAACTATATGAATGTATGAAATTGATTAGTAATTAAACAAGAAATCGCTACGTAATGAAATTTTGAATTTATTTGTACGTACATCGAGCTCTCTTGTGGTGATGATTTGGTCTGCAAGGCAGTGGCAATACTCGCACACGTAATAGCCGCACAAGTTAGTTCCCTGCTTTTGCTTTGCGCACTACAAATAAATGACAAACAACGAGAGATCTAATTAATATACACTTGTATGTATTTGAATCGGAGAAATATAAATGTAGAGCATGTGTACTCACAGGAAATTTGAACTTCCGCCTAAGTCTTTCTCTCCATTTGCCGCGGACCAAATGACGGAACCGATACCAAGCCCTACATGGAGTTTAAAGCTATGATTCGTAGTAGCAATTAACATAACAAGATTTTCTTAATTAACAAAGGAACTTATGACGGTACCTGTCTATAAGTTCGAAAACCTTGTCAAACGTAGACTCTTTTTTATCCATTGAGTCATATACGTTGACGGTGCAGGCCTCCAGGTCGATGAGTAAAAGCACCCAGTGGAATCTGCAATGTGCGTGGGATGCATTACATATGAAACACTTAGCAAGTTCGTACGGGAATGAAATTTGGTATGTAGGAAGACAGTAAAATTAAACTAACTATGTGTTGTATGGCAACAGTATGAACGTCTTGTAATGCTGCGCCTTCAGGAGATGGACGAGATTGTCCTCTGTTTCTTGTGGATATTGGTCGAGCATTGCGACGTTTACTTTCCGAGGGTCGATGAATCCAGTATCGAAAACCCTCCGCCGTCGGGCCCTTTGAATCTCCATTCTACAACGATAAAAGGGAGTATATTATTTTCTATGGTCTACTTATATACAAGGACCTAATTAATTAAAGGAGACGTATAGTAAGAAATCTAACTGAACGATATACTTACAAAATCCAGCAACTCATAATAGAGACGTCGAGGGCGTCCAGCTGGTATAGTTCGTAGATTCCCCTGAAATTGATCCAGAGAATGTCATCTCCTTGTAAGAAGTCCGTGACCCTGATCCTCGCTCCGATCATCTCTCTACCGGTGGCGCTCATCTCCATGTACAGCTGATGGAACTTGTACATTTGTGTGGGTAGGGACTGCAGCAGCTCAGGCTTGACAAGCGGTTTACCGAGTTCGTACATGTATTTCACTTCTGCCTTTTCGATTGGTGCGACTCCTAGCAATTGATCCGTAGTTAGACCGGTGTCAGTAATAAATTGTTCTATCGTCATTTCTTTACCGGTCACCAACGGCTCGATCTCCTGGTTTGGTTGCTCTCCAAGCTGAGGGACTGGTTTGGACTTTCCAGAAGATGCTTTCTTCAACGTTCGCTCATAGTCCGATAGCTTGATGGCCTCCTTGACAGATGCAGACATACCCCTGAAGAAGTTCCTGACACTGGGGTCTATAGGAATCTTCTTTTCTGGACTTCGAGGCTTGAATTGTCTCTTGACTTCTGATGCAACGTAAGCGTCAAGCTCCTCTTGCGTGCAATCATACCCCGGGTCCTTGTTCTTGGCGGCGTCAACTTTCGCCTTCTTTGTTGCCCTTATGTGGGCAAGCGGTGGAGCTGGGGGGGCCCTTGACTTTGAAGGTGCCGGAAGAGGAGCTTGCGGGGGAGTAGGTGTAGGAGCACGAGGAGGAGTCGGTGCAGGATCCTGAGGAGTCGATGCTGGAGCCTGAGGTGGAGACGGTGCTGGCGGAGCATGAGGAGGAGACGGTGCAGGATCCTGAGGAGGAGATGGCGGAGCCGGAGGAGATGGTGCACGAGACGCCGCTTGTCGCCCAGGGAGGATGATGTACCGCCTGCGCCATAGAATAATGGCATGGCATGTGTCTCGTAGATGCGTCTCACCGTCTCCTCCAGGGTAATCCAGCTCGAGGTCCTCGTACGCGCCTTCGACCAACTCAACTTCGACCTTGGAGTATCCTGCTGGAATCGGCCTGCAGTGGTAAGTACCTGAAGGGTCCGTTGGGATGGCCATGCCCGATGCCACCTTCATGTTGTGAGAGATTATTTATTAGTAATCAACATATATAAGCAGCAACTAGCGGAATGGCTAAATCTTACCTTTATTGATAAGTTCTTCAAAGGAATATGCAGCTCACATGGTGTCCGCTGAGTGATGTCATCAACGGGACAGGTCGATTCGTCCTGTGTTTGCATGGCGTCCATGCTCTGTGATCCTACCTGCCCCGTTGAGGCGCAGCTGCTACGGTTTCCTGACGGGCTCACCATTGCAGGAGGAATGGTCGGCTGGGGATCATGGGACCGATGTGCGGCCATGCGTTCATCAACCTTCCTTGCCACCTCCTCTTGCATGTTGAGTTCGTAGCTCGATACCCGGAACTCTAGGTCTGCAATCTTCGCCTCGGTATCTCTCTTGCTCCTCATCCGACTCCTGTACGTGTGGATGTCCTCCTTGAAACCAATCTTCCAAGGAATCACCCCTTTCCCTCGAGTTCGTCCTGGATGCTCTGGAGTCTGCAGGGCGAGTGTCAGCTCGTCCCTATCTCTGTCTGGTCGGAACGTGCCCTGAGAGGAGGCTTCCACTGCATCTGTTAGTCGTCGCGCAGCCTCTTGTATCTGATAGCCGAAGACCAGTGAGCCATCAGCTGGGTTGAGCGTTCCACCGTGAGCATAGTACCAGAACTTCGATCGTTCCGGCCAATTGGCTGTTGCCGGTTCGATACCCCTCTCAATCAAGCTAGCCTCCATCTGCTCCCACTTCGGCATCGCGACGCTATAGCCTCCTGACCCCAAGTGGTGATGGTACTTCTTCTTGGCGGCATTTTCTTTGTTTCTTTCCATCATCGCCTTCCCTTGTTCACCTGTCTTATATGCAACGAACTCGTCCCAGTGATCCCTTAGCTTTGGGAATGTGTCGAAGTTCGGTGTCTGCCCCTTCAGTATATACTTCTGGTACAGATCTCCCTTGAAGCTCTGAAACTGTTCTGCCATTTTCTTCAGAGTCCACCTTTTCACTTTGTCCTCTGTACCCGCAGGAAGGGTGAATGTCTCGAGCATTGTGGTCCACAGCATCTCTTTCTCCGAATCTGGGACAAAGCTCTCACGATCTCCGCGTGCCCTTGTTCTTCGCCAGTACACCGTACTGACAGGCACGTTATCCCGCACAACCCAACCGCTGTGACGTACATAGTTCTTGGCGGCTTCGGCCGGGGCACTAGGACGTCCATCTTCTTCCACTTCCGTTATGATGTGCCGACCCTCAAGCTTCTTCGCTGCACCTCGTTGCCCGCGTGCCCTCTTCTGTCCAACGGAGGGTTGACTACCACTAGCCTCCTCCTCCTGGTTCCCCTCCACATCCCTTTCCACGTGCCCCTGCTGGTTCCCCTCCGCATCCCTCTCCACGTTCCCTTCCTCGTTCAAGTACTGGTTTGGATCCTCGTTCCCCTCTTCTTCATTCCAGTACTGGCTGCTTCCCTCCGCGATTGTATCGTACAATATCTGTTCCTCATCGCGGTCAGCCATCTGTTGATACAAGAAACATCTGCTAAGTCACGAGACATTTATGTTTTAACAATCTAAGTCATGTATGCTAAGTGTAAATGTCGTACATTAGAACCCTACACAACCTTACGTGCTAAGTCTAATTACAAATCGTGATATAAGCTAAGTCTAGGTGACGTATATTATACAACCCTAGCTAGTAAATAATTATATACTAAGTCTAATTACAAATAAAATAATCTTATATTAAAACTCAAATAATATTACATGCTAATACTAAAATAGTCATGTATATGCTAAGTGTTTCGTGCGTATATGCTAAGTCTAATTAAGACTACAATAGTCAATTGCTACTTGTCGCACCAATTCCGTAGTCAATAATTACATACCAAGTCTAATTACAAATAAAGTAATATTATATTAAAACTCAAATAATATTACATGCTAAGACTAAAATAGTAATGTATGCTAAGTGTTTCGTGCGTATATGCTAAGTATAATTAAGA